CCGCTCTCTTCAGCAGCTTCTCGAACTCTTCTTTGGACCCTGGTTCGCGCTGACAGCAATAGACAAACGGTGACAACGGGGGTCCGACGACATCAGTATCCAACAGTGACAACAGGGCCCCGACGGCAACAGCAAGCCAACCGTCCAGCCATCCACGGCCTCCACTTGACCTCACCCCGTTCCATACTTTTCAACCAGAAAGCGGCAGTACACCAGGTGACGAAACACCAATGAAAGGGGAGATATCATCCATCGTAGGGCACACAAATCCAAAAGTAAACCACACAACTACCACGGGCCAAACCAAAATAATGATGGTAAATTGAACATATCTCCCTATCGAAAACGCCCGTCTATGCCCACCTCCTTTCCTCAAACCCACCCACCCAGTTAATAATATGCCGTACATCTTCTACCTCGTACCCATCCATCTACGCCCCCTAATCCCCCCCTTCTTCTTCTAACAGAAAAAAACGCGTTGCCACTTTTGAGATATACACATAATTCGTTTCCAACCCCGCTGCGCTAAAACGCATCCCCCCTGCTCAGATCCTCAGGGACAGACCATCTATGACCCAAGCGTACTCTGGCTCAAACTAGACTTCCCCGGCCCCTGCGCTTTCTTCAGCGCACGCAACTCATCTTCCAACTTCCTTCTCTCCGCTTGCTCAGCCTAGTCACACAACCGTTAGCCTCACCCCCCTTATCAAACCAAAAACAGAACAACTCACCCTCAGCGCCTTCGCATTCTCCGCCCTCGTATCCCTCATCATCTTCTTAAACTCATTCTTCAAAACCGCCGTACTCGTATTCCCCGCCCCCACCCCCAGCTGGCCCCCCGCGCCATCCGGTCCGGGACTCTTCATCCCCATCCAGCGCACCCTCTCATCGCTCAACTTCGCCTCCAACGCCTCCCTCTCATCACGTAGACGATCGATTTCCTTCTCCAGCAACTCGCGCTCGCGCTCCCCCTCGATAGACGCCTTGGTGAGGACCTCGTACTCCTCTATCGTCTCTCCCAGCTCGCGTCGCAGCGCGTCAAGCTCCTTCTGTATAGCCGGGTTCGAAGCGACTTCTGCGGCGCGCTGGGCGCGAGAGCCGTACGCGCCGTCGAGCTCGGCGCGGGCGATGGTGACTTCGGTTTGGAGGCGGGCGATCTCCATGTTCTTCGCGTCGAGCTCATCCTCGTCGACAGCGCGGGAAGATTGGGCGTTGCGCGCCTCCTCGAGATCAGCGGTCAGGCTGACGACTTGCGCCTCGGCTTTACGCGCTTTCTCGAGATCGGCGGTGAGATCACCGATATGTGCTTCTGCTGTGGATTTAGCCTGTTTGAGGGCGGCGATGTGCTCTAGGGAGCTGGTGAGCTGGGATTGCAGGTCGGCGAGGTCGATGGCGTTGGAGGATTTGAGGTCGGCGAGGTCCCCGGCGTTGGAGGATTTGAGTTCAGCGAGATCGATGGCGTGGGATGACTTGAGATCTTCGTGCTCGTTTTGGAGGTCTTCGAGCTTGTTTTGGTGGTCTTCCAGCTGGTTTTGGAGAGTGTCGAGTTCGTTTTGGAGATTGTCGATGTTGGAGTGGAGGGCGATGGTATCTTCGCCTTGGGAGCGGGAGGTTTGGTGTAGCGCTTCTGCGAGCTTGGATTCGAGACTCTGGGCTTGCGCTTCGACTTGGGCGAGGGTGGCTTGGGTGGATTTTAGCTGTGTTTCCATCTCGGCCATCTCGCGGTCTTTGGTCTCGTCGGACTTGTTGTTTAGCTCGCGCTGCTGCTTGATTTGACGCTGTAGCACCTCTTTCTGATCATTCAGCATTGCCGACTGGCTGTGCAGCGACTGCACCTTTGAGGAGAAAGCCAGCAGAGAAAAGTTCTGCACAGGCGCCTCATCCTCTCCATCTTGAGCGCCAGGATGCATCATCTCCCAAAGCTCCCTCAGCTTCGCCTCCGCATCCGCCCCCATCCCACCCGGCGCCTCCACCACCGCTCTATCACCCTCATCACCATCCAACCGATCAAACGACCTATACAAGCTCCTCTCATCAAAAATATCCTCCCCCGGCCCCACACTCCCCCCCGGATTCGAATACGTATACATACTCTCCGGACTCCCCGGCATCCCCCCCTGCGACGCCCTACCCCCCTTCTTCGCCGTCCTATGCGTCATCTGCAATATCCCCGCCGTATGCTGCAACAGTGCCGTCTGCGGCTCAATCAGCCTCTTCTCCAACCCCCACAGCTCCTGCGCCAGCTCCTCGCAGCGGCGCTCGCTCGCCGCGCGCTCGGCTTCAGCTTCTCGGCTCTGGTCGGTGTGGCTGTTTCGCTTGAGGCCGAGGCTGCCGCGGCTGCGACGCTTGCCGTCGCTGCCGCCGTCGGAGTAGAGTTTTCCCATGTTGATGGCTGCGTCGCGGTATTTGGACTGTACGGCGAGGTTTTGCCGGGTCGACTCAATACGCTGCGTTAGGCGGATGCATTGCTTGCGCAGACTATCCACTTCCTCCGGCGCGAGGATCGCGTAGCCCGTCGCGTCCTCGAGCGCCGTGGAGACGAGGAGGTGCATTTGTATCGGGTCATTGGCGTCGAGGAGGGGGGAGCTGTTGGTGCGGTTCGGGTTCCGGGGGTTGAATTTGGGAGGGGCGCCTTCGAAGTTGTTGACGATGTCGCCGTGGTAGCCGTCGAGGAGCATTTTGCCGTTCAGGCTTGAGCGCGGGGCTTGGGATACTTGGGAGGCGGGATAGCTTTGCACGGAGGAGTCGTTGCTGGCGAGGCGGTTGTGGAGGGGTTGGGCTTGTCGCGATTGACTGTAGCGTGTGGTCCCGTCTTGGTTGTTTGGTGCTGGCATGTTGGCTGGTATGACTTTGTCGCAAGCTGAGCGGTTCTGTGCAGTTTATAATGTCCTCCACTTTCTGGTTCTACCCAAGTGGCCTTTCCTTCCGAGTCTCAATCCCAAGTATGTCAGTGCCGTCCCAATTGAGGCCGACAGCGCGTATATTCAAGTCGTACAAAAAGCTCACAGCACAATCCCTAGCAATGCATAATTATCCCAATCAAACGCTCGCTATCAATGCTTCTTCGTCGTTAAAGCTCGCACAGCACCCGGAGATGCGTCGTCGCTTCGTGGAAATTCGTAGTACCCGTCAAGGCGTATCGCAAGGCGTATCGCAACACACTCTCTCGCTCCACCGTTAATTCTAACGCTCAAAAACACGCCGTTCGTCAATGCAGTACACACACACAATCTCCTGCGCGATCAAAGATCAAGAAAAAACTGTTCGTTCGTCGTCGTTGCCGTCGGCGTCAATCGAAATCTACAGCTCCTACGCGGCGGCCGCAGGGGTCTGTTTATCCCGTCCTTATTTTCAGGGTTCGCCAGGCACAGCCGCGCTAGGGGGGTGGCACAGGGGTAATCTTAAAAGGCTAAGCCTCAATTGACACGAACGCATCATATATCACGTGATTAGAGTTGAGAAGGTGAGTTCTTATATGACGCAGGAAACGATCATAACAAACTACATATTTATAACCAGAGTATCTTAGTAACAGAGGAGCAGGTGGATATCAGATAGTATATGTTTCCTTCCTTTATTCATTTGTTCTGTTGCAGGTTAGCTAGCTTGAAGAAGTTTGTCTAGAATTCGGTATAACTCAATCCCTATCCGTGTTTAGTTGAGCTGTCGTCTGTTGGTGCTGTCGCTGTGCTGCTGCTATCATTGCGTTAATGCTGTCGTCACCTCAAATCCGTCACCGCAATACCATCACCACCCAATCCCATCCCTTCCAAATCACGACCCCCTCCTCCTCCATCCAACGAATGACCGCGCAGTCTCCATACCCCTGCCTATCCATTTGGCTCCCAGCATGTCGCGCATGCTATGAACGGATTCCCCAGCTCCTAAATTGCAGAGACACCTCCCTGAGTCGGTCGCGGCATTGATATAGACGCTCAGCGCCTCGATACCGTCCTAGGCCCAGCCTCGTAGGGCAAATAACAGGCACCCAGGTCGGGCTGGGGAGGACAGATGCGATGATGGGTGTAAATTTGCTACAAGGTTGGGGATGTGTGGCTGGTGCTGGTGCTGGTTATTGGTGGTTGGTCCTTGGGCGAATCATTCGGACACAGTTTTTGCTTAGTGTGTCCATATGTGCACTCATTCACTCACTCCCTCCCATAAAACCACACTCAGAAAAAATCACCTCATTAAATCCCCCCCAAACTATGGTATCTTACTCCAAATCGAACAAATCTATCTTACTCCCCTCATACCCCCCTCACGCAACAGCAGGACCCTTCCCCTTCCCCTCCCTCACCTCCCCCGCATCAGCCTCATGCACAACCTCCGACCCCGCCACAACCTCACCCCCCGCAACAACCGGCACAGCGCCCGTCGCAACGGGGCTTCCTGCTAGCGCACTGGCTGGGCTAACTGGGCTATCCGTAGGGAGACTACGGGTCTGCTCTTCCGCGCCGATATGCGCTGGTGCTGGTCGTGTCGGTAGAGGCGGCGATCCCTGACCAGGTTGGAGACTCCTCGGGATTCCCGGTGGAGGTCCCGAGGGCGCACCTGATGAGGGCCCTGACTGGGGTCCCGGAACCGATCCCGGAACAACCTCCGGCGCACCCTGTCCCTGCTGCTGCGCATACGCCTGCTGTGGCGGGTACACATATTGATACTGCATCGGCACGGGGTTTCCGTTCGCGTCAACGGGTTGTGGTGCGTACCAACTCCCCCCCGGCGCACCAGGAGGAGGCGGGTACACGCTCCCTCTCTGCGCGACATCGGCCGGGTTGCCTACGACGTACATACTTCCCGGTGGAGGCATGGGGCCCATCGGTCCAGTCATCGGCGGCATGGCGTTGGCACCGACAGGTATCGGGGTATCCTTATCCTGCCACTTTCTCCTCCTCAGTGGCGCCGCACCAAGGAAGTCGGGGTACTTATATCTGAACCCCCATTTCAGCCATCTCCCCAGCTTAGTAAAAGCCCCCGTCTCCTTCCACGCCGCTTTCAGGGTTTCCTGCTCTTCAGCGGACTTGCCCTGGAACCCGCGCTGGTGACAGCACAGGAAGAAACAGGAGAGGAAGGGGAAGAGGAAGGCGAAGGAGATGGGGAGGCCGCGGCGGGCGTGGCGGCCGCGGCAGAGGCGGGAGAAGGCGATGTAGGATTCGATGAGGCCGATTATTAGGAAGAGGCCGAGCCAGCCGAAGATGATTATTAGGGCGATGGAGAGGTCGGAGAGCCCTGTTGTCTGCGGGGAGGGTTAGTTGGTGTGGAGAGGATGGGATGGGGGGGGGGAGGGGAGGAGGAGGGGACTTACGTAGGTTGATCCATCGGGGCATTTGAATTTGTGCTGGAACTGGTTGTAATACCCACTATAGTCCTCATAACACCCATCGTCTCCGCTCGAGCTAGATCCGCTGCCGCTAGAGCTGGAGCCGGAGTCGCTAGAGCCAGAGTTGGATCCCCCAGTGCCAGGTGTCACGAGGTTCGTCTGGTAGGAGTACGGCACCGTGCAGGAACTGGTGAAGTACGGGGCGTATTCCGATTTGATAGACGCCAGCGACGAGGTGGGGAGGATAGCCGGGTCGATGTAAGCGAAGTAATAAGTGGTCTTAGTCCCAAACGCCTGATACTGGCTGACGCTCGTAGAGACGGAGGTAGGCGTCGGTGTGATCATGGGCGGGAGATCCGCGTTGGCGGTGGTGGTGTAGACCCATTCCGTTGCGCAGGAGGTGGGTGCGGTGTAGGAGAGCTTGATGTAGTAGTCGTAGTAGGAGGTTGCGGAGTAGTCGCGGGTGATTACCTCGCCGGCGCCGGTGGGGAGGAGGACGTTGACGACGGTGACATCGGTGTAGTATTGGTCGACTGTGGTGTCGATGGAGAGGGGTGCGGCGGCGGTGTTGGTGGGTTTCACGGGGACGATGCGGGTGTAGGTTGGGCCGAAGTCGATGCTCGTGGTGTAGGAGCGGATGTAGGTGTAGTCACTGTAGGTGGTCACCTTGTTCTCGTAATCTAGAATAGGGATTGTCAGTATAGATTCTTGAGGTTCAGTGCCTGTCATATGCGGCGCATCGATGACAGGGAGCAAGAGCAGGAGCAGAAGGAGGAGGAGAACATACACGAAGTCACCACAAACGGACTCGCAAGAACGGTATTAGAACAAAAAAGCAAAAGCGAAAGGAACGCGGCCAAAGCTGCTGGAAACATGATGGGCGAATAAACAGTTGATGAAGATCAACAGCGCATCACGTCAAAAAAGAAGAGAGGGAGGGGGGGGAAAGAGTCAAAAAGAGGCGCAAATCATTCTCTTATACTATGGGCCACCTGCCAGTAGTAAATACTGTCTGTGCCAAAGATAGAAAAGCGAGGCGGCGACAGGCCAAGCGACAGGTGGATGCGGCGCAGCATACCGCGGTGCAAAAAGAGGGTTTCGGGAGATTGCTGGGGAACGAGACCAAAGAGAGGATTAGCGGGATGGGAGTGGAGTGTTTAGAGTAACTGAATGAAGCCGAAGGGACGGGTCCGAGCAGGCATTTTGGGGGTTGATGGGGGATAGCGGCAGGGGGTTCGGTGGAGTTTGCTGTAGTGATTGCAGCCAGTCAGCAACGGGAATGCATTAATCCGATCGAAATTCAAATAAAAGAAGCTCTGTGATTGGCTGAAGGCTTGATTTAAGCATTTCAGATTTCAGAGGGGTAAGCAGCATAAAAAAAGGCGGCTTGAAATTAGTCCGCACATCAAGCTAAGCTGAAAAATCGCCATTTATCGCCCGTTTAGGCATAGTTTGCTGCGCCAGATAGGTGCATTCCAGGCAACTGTCTCGTGTTTGATGTGGTTTGGGGGCGAGGAATTTAATTTTCCGAATTTCTTGGTAGGGGTGGGATTGGGTTGTTGGCTGGTGAAGTTAGCAAGGGGTGTGCCTGGATCTGGTCTTGGATCAGCTGCTGTCATTGGACTGATGGATGACAGGTCACGCTAGGGTGTGGTGACAGAGAATGTGAGGTTGGCGCTAATACAAGATAGGACACCGACAGATTGATTGACGAGGGGTGATTGGACGGGCAGCTATTGCCAAGTCCACCCTCTTCGCTCCGCTCCTCTCTCGGTAAAAATGCTCTTTGAAGGCTGTGATAGACACCCTTTTTTCCCTATTCATCTCTAGCTCCCTTCCACTTGTCTTGATTAACTCCAAATCTGGCTTAAAAGGGCATTGCTGGCCAATAGTTAAGGGGCAAATGGGACTAGCGTGTGCGTGAATTGATTTGCACGCACACGTGAGGTGACAGACAGAGAGACAGACACAGACGGAAATAGCTACACGTTCCCACGGTACTGCACTGCGCCGCTAGACGGCAGCTCGAGGCTACGTGCCAAGGCGGTGGCCATCACGGGCTCAACTTAACTCTTTTGCTCCTGTTTTTTTGCTGGGGGGATGCGGCGATGGCGGCGATGGGGAGGGAGTGGTGCGAGGGTGGCGTCGGCGAGAGCGATGGCGAGATAGCGATGGCTATAAAAATAAACTGAGACACAGAAACTATCGAGGCGGCGAACAGAGACTGCCACGCGAGGAGATGGGGAACGCAGAGTTCTAGACCCCGTCCCTGCGTGAAACCCCAAATGCCCGAATCCCCGAATACAGTCACCCTCGCTTCCAGACAGACGAGAGAGATCAAACACGAGAGGCACGAGGGAGACGAGAGACAGGGAGATGTCTCGTGATGGTAAATTGCCGCGTTTCACCGAGACATCACGTGTTTGATGGGATATCCGGGAATAAAATGTTGTCTCTATCACGGTCTGATAGGAAGACCGTGTACACGGTTGTTTTGCCAGAAAATATTGTGTCGGTGTTGTGTTGCCGCCCATGTGGCTCTGGATTAGACGTGTACCAGCCAGAGCACAGGTCTCACGTGCCTTGCATATTATTGTGCTCTTCATCTGTCAAACGTGACACCACGTGACGAAATACAGAGGATACTCGTAATAGCTAGCTAACAGGGATTATATTTCCTATTCCAGTTAGTACTACAGAGCTGTCACAAAATGCTACAGCGTCATCACAGCAATTCAGCAGCTGCTCCAAATTGTAGCAGCATAGAAAAAGTAATATAAAAATTCGATCCTCACCGTGAGTTCGGGGCCTTGAGTTGGTGGTTTTGGCCACACCCCCGCCGAAAGCCTCTCTTCACCTCTCTCTCTCTCTGACATCAAGGACTACAAATAACACCCCCTTTCCAACGCCCTCCACCCCCCCCCCCCCAAACAACAACAAAAAACAATGACCGACTATAACCGCCTCCTCAACCTCGCCCTGATCGACCTCCTCGTCATCCTAAAAGACGAAATGGTAAGGGACAGACAAATCCAGCAGCGCTTCAACGAGGAATTCGCCTCCGGGTACGACTATGAATCCTCCCACAGCGACGGGATATGCGCGTGGCGGACGAGAGATCGCGAAGACAAGTTAATAAAGCAAGAGGGCCGACGCAGGCTGGAGAAGTGGACGGAGGAACAGGATGGGATTTTCGAGAGGTTTTATGGGGGGGATGGGGAGAGAGCGAAGACGGCTAGACATGCGTATGCCGCTGTGCCGGCGAGCACTGGATTGCCGAGCATTGCGACACCGCTTGTTGTGGGGCGGGTTAGGGCGGAACAGACGATGCTGAAGAGACGGGTGGTACCGGCGGCGCTTTCGAGGGGGGTTGAGGTGGGATTGGCGACGGGGAGAGGGAAGGTACAGAAGATTCGGAAGAGGCGCGTTGGGGAGGCAAGGTTTGGTGTTACGTCGAGTTTTGATATGGATGAGTTGCGTGCGCGTGGCGGGCTTGTTGGTGTTAAGCCGGTGTTGGGTGCGAGGCCTTTGTTGAGTGCGAGGCCGGTCGGTGAGGGAAGGCCGGGTCGGTGAGGGAAGGTGGAGTACGGCGGGATGGGCGTTTATTGGGATGGAATGGCGGAGAAAGAGTAATATTTTAACTTATGAAGGCGTAGCATATGCATATATCAAATTCAAAAACCCTCATACAAACAACAACAAATTGTTTAATTTATACCACACCACAAAACACACACTCACCCCGAGGCCCCCGACGTGCAAGTGATACCAGGGCTCCCATCAATATTAGCACAATAATTCACCGTCGCACCACTTGGGTTCTTCACAGCCCAATTCGTAAAATGCAAATCACACAGCATAGGCGGCGAGCAATTCAAATTCGCCACCGCAGGCGCCTGTTTCGAATTCGTCGTCCCCTTGAAATTCTTAAAGTAAATCCCAGACAAACTCGCCAAACTCGGGTTTACCGCGCAATTCGCAGCGTCGGAGCCGTAGCAGCTTTGGATTTGTGCCCCGTAATCGCAGCCTTGGACGTCGACGCCGTCCCAGGTGACGTTGGAGACGGTTGAGGTGCCGTGGTCGGAGCCGCCGGGGTAGACTTTGATGCCTGCTGCTTTGCCGCAGTTGATCATCGTAGCGCGGGTGACGTAGATGTTCTTCACGAAGTCGGCGTTGTCTTTCCCCAGCGATCCGACGGCAAGACCGTGGTTGGTGCCTGAACAGGTTATGCCGTCGACGGTAACGTAGTTACACCCGCTCTTAAACGCGATGCAGTCATCTTGGTTGCTGACGAAGACATCTTTGATAAGAGTGTTTGTGCTCTCGCCGATGTCGAAGCCGTCGGTGTTTTTGGGGAGGTTGGTGGATTTGGAGGCGGATGTCATGGTTAGAGTGGCATATGTGACATCCTTCACGCCGCCTTTTTGCCCGATGAAGGCGTTGGGGGCGTTGTGGATGGCGAAACCGGTGAAGGAGAGGGTTGAGCCGCCGACGACGTAGATTACGGTTGGGCGTGCAAAGCTGCCGGTGGCCCAGCGGTCGTAGGCTGCTTGACCGTTTCCGTCGATTACGCCGCTGCCGGTTAGGGATCGGAATTTGACGCCGGTGATCTTGTTGAAATAGATGATGGCTGGTTGGGTGGACCAGTAGGTAGTATCAGTGGAAGACTTGAGCGTCCCCTCGAGCTGGAAATCGCAGTTGACGCAGCCGGTGAAGTCGAGCATGGTGCGGAGACTGTAGGTCTTTCCGGCGGGGATGACGATGGTGCCGCCGTTGCCGCAGGATTTGATGGCGGCGATGATGGCTGGTGTGTCATCTTGCTGGGTGTCGCCGAGGCTGTCGGGGGTGCAGGTGGCGCGTTTTGCGAGGGCTACGCGGTTGGGGATGGCATCTTCGATGGGAGATGCATTGACGACGCTGAGGGCGAGGAGGAAACTGAGTGCTGAGGTGAGCTTGACCATGATGTATAGATGTTTATGTGTCAATTGTGTGGAGAATAAATAATCTTGCGGACTATTACTACTTGACTTAACTCCCAAGTCCAATGCTATATTTATACACGCTTGGATTCATAGCAATCACCTTCGCCTTGTTGCGATATGAGATCTACAACTCAAACAATCAAAGGGAAACTGCAAATGGAACAATTAAAAGCAACGGAACAAATTCTTTAACATGTGCTATAGAAAATTAGAATAAGTCCTTGGTGGAACGTAGAGTAAGAGCCTTCCTTGGTGGAATCCAAAATATGAGAAATTCTGCATAGCAACCTCCATTGCAAGCCTCTCACCTTTAGCCAGAATATGAGATTAGATCGATTGATACCCAGCAACTGAAACATGGGGTACGCGTGTCCCCTTGGTGGAATCCTAAAATAAGAGATTTTTCTTCACAGCACCCACCGTTTATTCCAAGTCCTCCCCCGACTTTAGCCAGAATGTGATAAACAGAATCGCAGGTTGACGTCGAGCAAGGGTTCCCCACGTTCAACGGGTAAATATCCCATGGCATTTGCAGGGTTGCTTTTATCCGCCCCGCGAGCCGAGGAACTGTCATTACGGAACTACCGGTAGTTTGATGCTTATTCCTGCCTCCCCTGTGCAGGTCCGGCTATATTGACATTTTCTTGGCGGGTAGTGCGATGATGATGGTGGGAGTGGCTTGCTGTCACGGAAATTTTTATTTACTTCCTCCGTCAGAGATATGAAATAATCCGGGGGCTTGAGAGGGGAATCGCGCAAGTACGTGTGTCAAAGCAAACGTCATGCTGGAATTTACTGCGTTGATTGTTATAAATAATGCCATTCCTTTTAGTGCTTGATCGTCGTTCTGAATCTGAATAAGCTTATACAGCCTACTACCAATTCACTGTGACCTGCGCAAGTTAACACTATGCATCTCTCTTTATCCACTTTGGTTTCCGGGCTCTTGAGCCTAAGTGCCGTCACAAGCGCGTTACCCAATCTTGGGTTGGCCAAGAGGGATTCCCGAACCAGTCCTCCAAGCGGATGTTTGACGGTTGGCAGCGGTGGAACCTATAGTACTATCACCGCTGCACTTACTGCCCTTGGTGCGGGTAGTAGCACTTCGACTGCTTGCATTTTCATCTATGCTGGTACCTATGCGAGCGCGAGCACCGACCAGGTTTATATCAACTATAAGGGTGCTCTCACTCTGTATGGTTATACCACGAAGTTAGTACACCATGTCCGAATAGTGTGAAGCTGATACCAAACGTCCCCATGCTGATAATACTTGCAGTATTGGCTCCCAAAAGTCCAATGTGGTGACCTTCACTCGCAACATCAACTCCGCTACAGCCGGCAGCCTCGACGCCTCTTCAACTTTCAACATCGTCAGTTCCAACTTCAAGGCCTACAACATCAACTTCAAGAACCTCTACGGAAAGGGTGCCCAAGCCGTAGCCGTAACCGCAAACGGAGACAAGCAGGGATACTATGCCTGTGGCTTCTACGGCTATCAGGACACCCTCTATGCGAAGAGCGGCAAGCAATATTACTCCAACTGTTACGTCGAGGGCGCCGTCGACTACATCTTTGGTAATGCCGCCGCGTGGTTTGGCGAGTGCACTATTGCCAGCAATGGTGATGGGTATATCACTGCGAGTTCCAGGGACACGGCGGCTGATACCACCTGGTACGTGATTGACTCCAGTCATGTAAGTACTTCCCGACGCGCCCCGGCCAACTGAGGATGAAGAGTACTAATTGAATTCCCCTCAGGTCACAGCCGTATCCGGATACACAGGAGTCGTATATCTCGGCCGCCCATGGCACGATTTCGCGCGCGTCATCTACCAGCTCACCGAGCTCACTGCGGTGGTGCGACCTGATGGATGGTTATGTTCGACGACAAACCCGTAAGTAATAGTATTTTCAGCACAGACCAGCAGTATGAGCTAATAATCCAATTTCAGGGAATTCCGCGAGTTCTCCAATACGGGAGCTGGTTCCAGCACGTCGGCGAGAAATTGTAAGTGGCTGCATTTGAAGTGGATTCGTTGGGAAAGATAACTGACTATGGTGGATATAGGTTTGGATACTCCGACTACTGCGAAGGTTTCGAAGGATACGCTGTTTGGTAGCGACTGGAAGACCTGGATTGATACGACTTGGTAGAGGAGTGGAAATACTACCCCTGTTGGGGAGAATTTCGGGATATGGAGATCTGCATTCGAAATCGGGTAGTGTTCTCCCGTTGCCGAAGACTCTCTTTTTGGCAGTCGGTGCCGAAGCGACTCAGAGAGCAGTACGTACAGTATATAAAATATATAAATCTATTGAATTTATTCAACTGTGGCTGGGCTATCGTGATGTCTCTGTATTCTGGTGCAGTTAGTATGCTTCTATGAGCATCCTTAGTTACGTTGGCGATGTTGGTAGAATTAATGTGGAAGAGGATTATTTTAAAATAACGAAGTTATAAATATATTAACTTCATTTTTATCTTTAAACACCCAACCACAAAACAATATTATGATACAAAAATAGAAGACACACAACGCATCATAATACTAATAAAATATCCCTAGAATATTAATCAGGTGTGCACATACGATTATATGTGAAGTCTTTGGCTCTTTTGTAAAGTAATTATATTTATATTCAAGTTATATTATCTCCTTACAACAATCCGTATGGCTACACTATGGACACTGTTGTTTCAACCTACCGTGAATACCCAAACCCCCACAACTACAGTTGCAGTGATAACCCCAGAAGCGAACAAGTACCGTAGTCACAAGACACATTACCTCTCATTATGGAACTCGTTGAGTTCGGCAAACGTAGTGACGACGGCTACCCTCATGGGAAGCAGAAGCTGGCCTCGAATTCAGAGTTGATTTGAGAACCAGATGTTGATGTATACTGACATATCGATGCCAATACTCTCAGGCAAGGGAATTCAACTTCTATCCTGGATACCGCCGATGGGAAGGACAGCTAGAGACGCAACGTTGTACTTGTTGTCACTACAGATTTCATGTCATCGCGCTGGACCTGTCACCGTTAGTTGTCTGCTGATGTCGCTGCATTCTTGCTGTCGCGAGATTCTGTCGAAACTTGCGCTCGGATTTGGTTTGCCTCGTTCGCGAAGTGTTTCCGTTGTCGCTAGCCTGGCCGTCTACCTCTTCCTTGATGCCGTTGTTCCGCCTGAAACAGCAATACGAGACCGGCGGATCAGTGAGTGAATTCCAGGCGTTGGACGCAGTCTCGGTATGTGTCGTTCATAACCCCGGCATTGCCATTTTTGATCAAGTCCTCGTTCGCAAATCGTGGGAGGATGTCGGCAACGGCAGACACAAGGTTAAGGTTGAGAAATCTCTCATTTGCGACATACTCGCGCTTGTTGGCGCGCGACAGCACCGAATCGGTCAGGGTGGTCAGTCTTGCCTAAGTAATATCAGTACCATATAGTTGTATTCATACTGCATTACGAACCTTTTGATTCTCACGTGTCTCTTCTAATTCCTTTACCTTTGCCGCCAGCTTCTTGTTCTCATTTAGGGTTAGTTAGGGTTAGTGGAGGCGTGATTGGGAATATAAGCGGGAATATGGAAACTAGGAAGGAAGCTTGAAGGTAGTCAGCAAGTAGAGTTGGCAGCTGTATGTTAAGTTGAAAAAATAGAGTTGGTAGACTGAAGAAGTGTCATAAAGACTGAGGTTATGAAGCATGGTCTGTCCGCAACCAATTGCAAGCCGCCATAGCGCGATGAACCTTCAGCTTTGTCGCCGCCATAATCCACCGGTATCTCTTGATCTCATCCTCCGCAGCTAATAACTCGTAATACGCCTCCAGCATCGGATCTCCACGAGAGAATTCCTCAACACATCGCAAGTAGAATTCCCGATCCCTTCGCATAACCTCTGTATTCTTTGACCGCCAAACCAACGGTCCATCGGTCTCACTTCCGTGTTTGGCTTCGAAAGGTTCGTGTAATGATTCGAATTCGTGTGTTAGGAAGTTGGGGAAACATGCTGAGAATTGCAGTGGGATGATCTCTGCGAATCCGAGGTCGATGATACTGTAATGGCTGTGTCAGTTGAAGAAGTATGTTGGGTGCGAATAAGGGCACGTACGCTTTGACGTTAAAGTCCTCATCCACGATAACGTTTTCAGTCGTCAGGTCACCGTGGACGAGGACGCAGGGGGGATCATCGAGGTCTGGTATGAGGTACTCTGCGATTAGACTCTGTTGATCGAGGCACTCGCTGACCGCTGCTCCAGGAAGTTTGTTGTTCTCAGCTCGTTTGATTTTGCGATTTATAAGGGTTGTGACATGAAGTGGCCGTATATTCTATGTTAATAATTAGTGATGAGCAAGCTTGAAAGATGGCAGAGAGATATGACTAACCTTTATTTTGTATTTGAAGTAAATCTAGTACTATCCGAGCAACAGACCGAAGCACTTTATCCCGTTGTGGTAGCTCAGGAAAGGATTCCGTCCACCGCAATTGAGTTCCCTCCACCCACTCCGAAACGATGAAAGGAAACTGTGCAGGATTGTCGAATGTTGCACTAAAGGCCTTCATCCTCGTCATTCTTGCAATCCCAGATTTCTCAATAGCCAGACGTAGTTCCGCCTCTCTTTTCGCCGTCAACACGACGTGCTCTGGAAACGCTCGGAATTGTAATGGGAACCGGACTGCCCATTTCGATCCTTCCTCGTCTTTGAGAACGACGATAACACATTCACTGCCTCCAAAAGGCCTTTCGCGGGTATCCATGATGAATTGGCATTGAAGGCCAAACAAATGGCACATTTCCTCTTGAAGCCCGTCCAAATTGATGTTGTCGTACCCGTCGAGTACTTTTTTGCGGCCTTGGGTGTCCATATCCACAGCTGCTTCGCGGCACCCAAAATATAAATATCGAGAAGTTCGAGAAGAACGGGACGAATGAGATTTTGAACACGTCACACTATCATGTGACAATAGTCTTTGAAACGCGATACTATAGCCGTAGCCATGCGCCCTGCGCAAGTTCGAGGACATCGGTGGGATAAACAGCACATATCCACGCACTTTTGGGAGGGTATTATGTTTTGAAGGTGTATGCTACCAAACGCCGCTGACCAAATGTTGAGAGATGGGACGATTGATTCCTTGTATTCCGTTCGTTCCATTCCAGGGATCGCATTGGAGTGCTTGTCGTCCCCACCGTTGACTTGAGGATACTCCGAAGACGCATCGGCCTATAAGAGAGGATTTGTCGACAATGAGAACAGAGCGAACATCGATAAGCTGTTGCAGAGGGCGAAAGATTCAGCCACAAGGCACACAGCTATAAGACAACGAGAAATGGGTATACTGCGGAACACGAACGGCTGCAACGGCTGCACCATTTGCGAGTTGACTTCTCGTCGTCTAGTTTCTCGCTATCGAATTTCTCGTCGTCGAAACCTGCTTCTCGTCATCTAAAACCTGTCGCCACAACCGCGGCTTCTCACCGCCACACACAAAGCTAGCCAAGGATCTCGAGTGCGATTTTCATGTCCGATAGAGCAATGTCATCGATGATACGACATAGTTGGTCCTCTACATAATCCCACAAGCTTATTGTGCCTGTATGAACCGAAAGTTTGCGCCCATGAGCGGCAACGGGCTCTTAACTATGGCCAAAATCCACGGTTTGATCCGTGACATGACCTCTCCAATATCTTCGTCGTGAAGAAGCGCTGTTATTACCAATGGCGTCCAGCACCGAACATGATATAACTTCTCATTGTGATAAAGTTGTTGATTGTTCTGTGTCGACTCGGATCTGGAAAGGGGGGTTAGCATATATATGGACCAGACGAACGGAGAAGACGGAAACAGACTCACCGGTTGGCGAGATTGGGAGATGTTGCGTTTACTGTGTTCAAGGGATATATATTCCCCACGACCCGGACAGCGGTGAGGCGCTCGATATCATCCAGACCCAGCGCATGAATGTAGAATCCCCCCTCCTATACGCAGGGAATCCCATTCTGCACGGGTTGGAGTGTCCAAAAGACTCACCCCAGCTCGCCGACCTACTTGTAGATATTATCTCCTTCTCAAACAACTGAAAATCCCCGCCTGATATGCGCCTGGTGTCAGTTCTCCTCACAAGAAATGTCGCCTCCCCCAACGAACCGGTTGCCTTGCTAATACCACGTCAAGGAACACGGGGGAGTGCGTTTTCATTCTTGAAATGGGAGTTAGTAAGAGGAATGGGAAGAAATGATGATGGTGGGAAGAAGGTATAGCAAACGTATCTTGTGAACTGGGGAAATTGTAAAGCAATTGCATCTCGTATCGCCTGTGGGTTTTGATATCATCTCTTGGAATTCTTTTGCCATTCTTTATCCTTATTTTTTCTTCTCCATCCCAACCCGCGCGGTTTCGCAGTGGTAGTGGTAAATCTCTATGTCGTCGTATATCGTCGTCGGCATTTCGAATCCTGCCATTCATCGCCCTATCCATAAACTCCACACCAACCCAACACCTCTCGCATCTCTTCCTCAATAAGACCTAGATCACAATTCTCAAGCTTCAGCACTGGTGACGCATGCACCAAAATCTCACACTCCCCCATCGGCCCTACCAACGACCAACTCACCTAGCTCTCAGAACAACACACACCGAACTCTTGGCATCAGCTCTCACCATCCCCCACCACCATCCCCGAAACAACTTAGAGCGAGGCGCCAACGACAAGTTCCAAGATGAACTCCTGTCGCATTCCCATTTTACCATTTTCTCTGCCTTCTTCCTTCAAGATAATAATAGCCCGCCGATGTGATCCTTCAGCGCCACGCACGCACGATGCTCGGGCATCGGCACCAACCATCAACAGAAGCGGCCACGACGGCCACGACGGCGGTGTTTGGTGGATATGTTCTCGGATGGGGGTTGGTGTATCCGCGCACCTCCCCTCAAGGCCGCGGTCGAAACCTTAGTCGAAACCTCGGTCGAAGCCTCGGTTCAGCTGTCATTTCCATCATCGTGTGCGTGTGAAAGCAGCACGCATAGCTTGGCATCAATTGCGGTGCTCAGAGCAGGGGATGAGGAGCTCTTTCTATGCTCTTTACTCGCGATGACGCGATTTAAGAGCGGGTGTGGCTTGGATGAGGTGATGTTGTTATACTGGGTCCATCCGCTGAGATCTGGAAGGGAGAGAGGGAGGCAGGGAAGGCTAGAACGAGGACTCATGAGTCGTTCCTTCCTTCTTTAAAGATGTGATATGTCGTTTTTTTTGTGACAGTAGGGTAATAGTATACGTATCCTCTTGTTTGAGAAAGAGATGGATGGAAGGGAGATGGAAGAATCCAAATCCAAGATATCAAGGGACTGAACGAGACATTCGAAGGTGAATCCATCTTCTTCTTCCTCAAAATGATACCTACCGAATCCATCTGCCCTGCCTTCCTCAACCCCAGCGACCACCTGCCTTGCTTTACAGTGGACGTCTCGGTTTACTGTGGACGTCCGCTTTCCAGTACAGTAACATCGGGCGGGCACCACACCGCGTCGTGACCGCATGGTGGATCTGACTCCGCCCCGGGAATGTCTCATCCGTCTGTTCGCATTCAGAGATTTCATCCGATCAACAGCTTGTGCCCCCGCATCTCCTCCCCCTTCTAAACCGGCACGCAGAAGCCAAAGTCGGTGACAGGTACCGTACTTACCGCACCTCCTCTCACCCTTCTCTCACCTTCTCCACGGTGGGATCGCGTGTAATTAAAACCTCACAGGAACTATTGGATATACTACGCACCAGATGGCATACTCCGGCCGATCCCCCGGTGCTGACACGCGATCGGCGGTAGTGTGGTGGTGGCGGTGGTGGAGGGTGGTGTCTCAGGCTGGCCGACCCTTGTGGCTGGCGGCCGATGGGATGGAGGTGGTACTTGGATGTGTGCTTTGGGTTGGGGATTTGGGGGTTGGGGAGGGGGAGGGAGGGTTCTTGCGTGGCGGAGTGGCTGCAAGTGGGAGTTTCCTATGGATGGTTTGAATGTTCGAGTGTGTCTCATGCGGTGGCTTAGGGGTTGTGGCTTAGAAAGTGGTAGTACTGTAGTATGGTAATGACACCGGCAGATGTTAACGTTTATGGCCGTATTACCCGCATGTAGTATGTTTCCCATTCGAGACTTAATGAAGCCCTCATAGCTCGATATTCGATGGATGTATATGTGATGGATCTGGAGATGACGACGGAGCGGGTAATGATAGACAGTTTATTGGTCTATTAGTCTAGCTGAGGAGTGGAGGTACACATGGTATCTCTAGGCGGTACTTGGCATTGGCGGGGGAATGACGTGGGAATCAAGGTAGTCGAAGGGGTTAGCAAGGTTACTCTTGTTTCAACGGAGAATTGTTTATGCTAGACTTTGTTGAGTAGGTGGCCGAGTGGGGGAGGGAGGGGGAGGTGGTGAGGTCCTACAGAGGACTATGGATATGTCCATGAGTGACTATGGATACTAGATGGATACAGTATGGATACTCTTATGAGAGACAATAATGAAACTATACTGCAATATAGACACTCTAATCGGCGATCCCCTCCTCCTTTCACTATTATCACCCGGAATTGCGGAATTAGGATAGGCAGGGGCCCTAAATGCGGGTTTTAGTGCCGAGCCGGTGCCTGCCAAGAGAATGCCCGTGTGTGGGATTTCAGCGTAAAGTTGCCTGTTCTTGCCTGTTCTTGCCTGTTCCTGCCTGCCAGTTTGTCTGCCGCGCTCACTCTTACTGTACTGGTCTCTCGCTGCCGCTTTCACGCTAAACGGGGGAGCCATTACCCCTGGATTGGCGTTATTTGGCGTTATTGGCATTTGGTGGGGGATGGGAGGGGATGGTACAAGGAAATGTAGTACACCGGAAGTGGGAATGGAAAGTACCATTCCCATAATCCCCGATCTTGTCCTCAACACTCTGTATGGGACTCCACATACAACAAACAAGACTGAATAGACTCCTATGGAATAATACAGTACTATTATTTTACTATTACACTACTATTTACTATTGCACAGACTCTCGAGGGCTAGGGGTTGTGACTTACCCCGTGACTTGCCCTGTCCCTGCCTATCCCTGCCTTACCCTTGAGGTGGCACTGAACCCCAGCCAGCCACTGCCACCCACTACCACCAACCCCTCCAACCACCAAACCCACCACCAAAACCGCCACCGACGCACCCCTCCACAGCCCTCCACCTCTCAAGCTTTGACACCCCCATACAACAATTTCACCTCATTTCATCCTCATTTCATCCCTCACCCCAAAGAGATGGCGATCGACGCTGAGAAACGGCCGGGGAAGGATGGGAGGGGGTTACACCACAGCAATTTGATGCTGCATTCAGGAATGAGGATGGGGATCACGACACGGTGAAGTTGCATTTTGTAACCCTTCATGTCAGACTCACGACCACGTTGACTTTGCCCTGACATTCGAGACAGGTGGAATTTACAAGACATACAGACGCTCAAGACACATTTAACCTCACTTACCGCGTGCCACGGCTGTCACGTCACGTCAACAATAACCTTCCTGAGCCACCACCACCGATGACGATAACCTTCTTGCGCCATCACCCCATCATCCCAACAGCCGTCCATTCCAGCGATTCGGCCATTCGAAGCACGTCACTTTTAGGATGGATACAGTTAGTACCTTGCCTACAGCTACTCACTAGCAATCACCTCCTCCGCAGTACCTCCCTCGCAGTACAGCCCCGACCAGGATGAATGACCGCAGATCTGTTGCCTCATAGCAACGGGCCTCACTCTCCTCTCAATCCACCCTTCCCGTCCTGCCCCCCCACCCTCTCCCTGGCTGGGTTATCTCTCTCCGTCCGCCCGCCTCTCTCTGTCCCCTTCCCTACTCCACCACCACTAACTCCCAGTCCCTCCCTCTCTCCGCACACGTCTCCGCACGAGATTTGTGTACACGCACCGCGCTAAGATCGTGTACGTACCGCGGAAGTACCATACTTTCCCAGTTAAAGGGGCCGTGAGGCCCTGTGCGCATTGATTGGACTTTGCCGATCTGTACGCGCTACCGCCCTCACTAGCGGCTAATGAGCGATGAGGTTGTGATTACTGCTCACAAAAAGGATAGTTAATTAGTCGACTTACAGCAATTCACCCTAGTGCTATACAGCCCAACTTTGGTTCATACTAGTAGTGCTAGTGCACCGCAGCAGAAGCTGTACACTCCACGTACTCGACTTGTAACTCTCCTCCCCTCTCCACTAAGCTACTTACTCCGAGGGGGGGGAAGGCGGGGACCAACGCTGACCCCACCCGGTAGACTCCACGATTGCACTATCGTTCTGATAGTCAGGCACGGCAAACACGACTAATGCCACCCGCAGGGCTCATTCTGTCATTCATCTTCTTGTTTGGGGAAGTTCTGCCCTCATCCCATGTTCGGCCTGTAACCGTTGGCCCGTCATACTCCCATCTCCTGACTCCTGCATCGGGCAATGAGTTCCGGTAGTCTTTGCGTCGAGGATGGACAGTGGCCGTGGGATGCGCCCTGTCAACAGGGTGGCGAAAGATACACGGCTCTACTATGTTTTAGCTACCCTGTGAGCGTATCAATGGTTTCTCAGATCATTACTGCTTCTAATGTGATGATACCGGTGGGTCAATTTCTTTCACCTCACATTCATCCATTCACACATTTCCCAACATCTGCATTCGCTGGCTAGTCATGTGAAGACAGCAGACACGTCACAAGAGCCTGATAACGAACAAGGAAATCCGTTGTTGGTTTCCTCCGTAATCCTCCTCATCCTCCCCAATTACAGGAACAGATATCAAAGCATGCCACGCTAGATATCCCATCCCAATTGGTGCCCATCCACCCTCAGCTTCAGCCACAAGCATCTAAGCGTCGATCCTCCCACCCTCCCGTCCTAGGCAGTTCGATCGAGCTGTCATCAGGGTCCAATGGCTTTGCCGCCTGCCTCCATGGGGTGGGTGCGCTTCACTGGCCGGAGATTGTCGCAAGTGATGCTGCAATCTTTGGCCCTGATTAGCGGATGATCCGAATTGCGGATCCGGCCATTGACTTTCTTTCCAAACCCATGGGTCTCTACAATACAGCTCGCAAGGCATCGGTGCGGTCTGCCAGCTGCTGCAAAATGTCTCATACCACCCCTGGGATTCCGTTGCCAATGGTACCGAGTGGTACCCACCGCCCACCCATGCGCCGATGGGAGATGGGAGATGGGAGACTGAACTATTGCAGACTAGATGGGCAGACCTTCCATGGCGATGTATAAGAAGGACATCCCGCCGGAATTGTCTCTCTTTTCTTCTGTATCCAACTACAGACACACAGTCCTTACATTCATTTTACCAACTCACCCTTTCCACTCTTTATATCCCGTTTAATTTTCAAACCCTCCTCCCTCCCTCCACCCAAACAAAACCGCAGCAATGAAGTTCTCCTACACTCTCGCTGCCGTCTTCGCGACCGCCGCCGTCGCCGCCCCAGTGGCCCAGGCCCCAGCCGTCCCAGTCGACGCCGGCCTTCTCGCAAAGTTGAGCCCCGATGTCGCCGCTCTCGTTACCGGTCTCGGACTCACCACCCTCGCACCTGGTCTTGCCGCTACCCTCGTCACCCTCAGCGAGGGCCTGAAGACCCGCCAAGTCGGTGTCCCAGTTGATGCTGGCCTCCTCGCCAAGCTCAGCCCTGATGTGGCTGCTCTCGTTACCGGCCTCGGACTCACCACCCTCGCCCCTGGCCTTGCTGCCACCCTAGTCACTCTCTCCGAGGGCCTCAAGACCCGCCAGGTTGAGGGTGTTGTCAACACCGTCGAGACTGTTGTCACCCCCGTCACCGATGTTGTTTCAGGCCTCGTTGCTGGTGTCGGTGCCCGCCAGGATGTCCCAGTTGTTGGCGATCTTGTCCAGCAGCTCGAGGCCATCCTTGCTGGCCTCACCTCCGGTGTTGCTGCCCGCCAGAACGTCCCAGTTGCCGGCGATCTCGTCCAAACTCTTGAGGCTCTCCTCGCCAGCTTGAAGGGTGGTGTCGCTGCCCGCCAGAGTGTCCCTGCTGTCGGCGATCTTATCCCGACTGTTGAGGCGCTCCTCGCTAGCCTCACCAACGGCACTGGTGTTATTGGTGCCCGTGACATCGCCGGTCTTGAGGCTCTTATCCAGAGCCTCACCGCCGGAGGTGCCGCCACCGACATCGCCAGCAAGGCCGCCGGTTCCGTCCCAGTTGACGCCGGTCTCCTGGCCAAGCTGAGCCCAGATGTCGCTGCTCTCGTCACCGGTCTTGGACTTACCTCCCTCGCCCCTGGCCTTGCCTCCACCTTGATCACCCTCTCCGCAGGACTCAAGACCCGCCAGGTCCCCGACGTGGTTGGTGAGCTCCAGCCCGCTCTTGAGGCTATCCTCGCCCAGGTCACCGGTGCCGTTCAGGACAAGGTCGTCCCTACCGTTCAGGGTACCGTTGAGAAGGTCGTCCCTACCGTCCAGGGTACCGTTGAGAAGGTCGTCCCTACTGTCAAGGGCACCGTCGAGCAGGTCACTGGTGCTGTCCAGGGTCTTGGTGCCCGCGACGTCGCTGGCGTCCCAGTCGATGCCGGTCTCCTCGCCAAGCTCTCCCCCGATGTTGCTGCTCTTGTCACCGGCCTCGGACTCACCACCCTCGCCCCTGGCCTCGCTGCCACCCTCATCACTCTCTCCGAGGGCCTCAAGACCCGCCAGGTTGACAGCGTCGTCCCAGACATCCCAGTTGATGCTGGTCTCCTCGCCAAGCTGAGCCCTGATGTCGCTGCTCTCGTCAGCGGTCTCGGACTCACCTCCATCGCACCTGGACTCGCTGCCACCCTTGTCACCCTCTCTGAGGGCCTCAAGACCCGCCAGGTTGAGGGTGTCGTTAACACCGTCGAGACTGTTGTGACTCCCGTCACTGGCCTCGTCTCCGGCCTCGCTGGCTCCGTTGGCGCCCGCCAGGTTGAGGGTGTCGTCAACACCGTCGAGACCGTCGTGACTCCCGTCACTGGCCTCGCCGGCTCTGTTGGTGCCCGCCAGGTTGAGGGTGTTGTTAACACTGTCGAGACCGTTGCCGCCCCCGTCACTGGTCTCGTCTCCGGTCTCGCTGGTGGTGTTGTCACCCGTGACGTTGCTGGTGTCCCCGTCGACGCTGGTCTCCTCGCCAAGCTCTCCCCTGATGTCGCTGCCCTTGTCACCGGTCTCGGACTCACCACCCTCGCTCCCGGTCTCGCTGCTACCCTGATCACTCTCTCCGAGGGACTCAAGACCCGCCAGTCCTCTGACCCGCTTGCCGTCGTCACCCAGGCTCTCGAGGCTATCCTGAACCCTGTCACCTCTACTGTCTCCGGCGTCGTCGCGCCTGTCATTGGTGCCGTCGATGCCCGTGATGTTGTCCCAGCTGTTGGTGGTGTTGTGTCTGAGGTTGAGGGTGTTGTGAAGAACGTCACCGGCAACGTCGGCGCCACCGATGCTGCCTCCAAGGTTGCTGGTATCCCAGTTGATGCCGGTCTCCTTGCCCAGCTGAGCCCTTCTATCGCTGCTCTTGTCAGCGGTCTTGGACTTACCTCCTTGGCACCTGGACTTGCTTCTACTCTGATCACCCTCAGCCAGGGCTTGTAAATGTAAGTTGCACCTCCACCCCTCCGACATTTACGAAGACCATCAGCTAATTGTTACATCAGTACAGGACCTCGATTGTGCGACCTTGTTTTTTGAATAAATTTCGACGAAATCTGTTTCCGAAAGGCAATAAAGTGATGGAGGAGACGGGAAAGTGATGATGGCGTTCATGGGCGGTGATTATACCTTCAACAAAGCGACATGGCTAGCGATGCAGCTGGCTCTTCAAACGTTCTTTTTTCGTTTTATATAAGATTTATGTTCAGGGGGAACGGGACACTGTTCCGTTAGTGTATTTAGGCAGTAATGTATTTAAACAACTGATTGTGGAAGAAGCTGTATATATATGAATATCGTTTAAACGTTTATTTGTTTGGTTGTGACTCTTGTGTTTTTTACTTGATGATGAGGAAGGAACCATTCCAATCTTGTGGAGGAAGGAGCAATCCACAAGTGTTTTGATTTTGTGAGGAAAGAGCGACCTTAGAACCTAGATATAGCCCTTCGAAGGAAGGAAAGAGCGATTCTAGAAGTTCACAGTTTTTCTCGAAGGAAGGAGCATCCTCCCCCACGCTCCTGCCAATTCTACAAATCCCCCCCCCCCAATTCTGCGACGGAAAGTGCAACCCTACTCAATGGCTCCTTCCTCAATTTATTTCTACATGACCACAAACAACACTCACCTCGCAGTCTCTACATCTCAATCTCTCTCCTCAAATCTCCTTACTAAGCTCCGGCGATCCCTCTCTCACTGAATTCTCACCCATCAAATTCCCATCAAAAGCCTCATCTAGAACACACCACCATCCTCTGTCTCGCCCACCACAGGGAATCGCTGTCTTTGAAACAGAAAATGCCACGCCCGCCACTCTTCCACGACTATCACGCCCTGGCATGTCTAAAAACGTGCTCATGTCCCTCTACTTCCCCCTAAGTCCCGTTGACGACGCGGCTCCGCTTCGAAGAGCATGCGATAGCGCCAAGCATCGCGCCATCACCATCTATCACCTCGCTTGCATCGCTTTCGTCGCAACTATTGAGCTGGGGGTGTGTGTGATGGAATGCGAATTGTTGCAATGTCATGCATGGGATAAGAGAGAGAGAGAGCGATTACGAGTACAGAATACCGAGGTATATCCCCCAAGGCCGAGGAGACAGAGTCGCCGGATCGTCATCGCGATTCAGCGGGTCGAGGCGCGCTCGCTCGCGACGATTACCTTACTCGTCGCGCGATAGCTCAATTACTTACGCTCAGATCTCTGGTCGCGAGGGGTGATCTATCGCCTTACCCGCTTTGCTGCTCGTGAGGTGTTTATGCTATGTGCTGGCCGTGTTCCCCCGAGGCGCTGGGCTGGGTATTGTGTGGTGGTTTGGTGGTTGTACGGACGATCTCCCGTCGGCACATGTGCGTATTGCGGCAGTTTTGTAGGAGTACCGCGTTTAGGGGTGGGGTGAGGCTCCCAAGGTTACGCTGTGCTGGTGGTGGTGGAGGTGGTTATTTGGCTGATAATCACATGCGGCTCGGTGAGAATGGGGGAGGATGAGAATTCGTATCTCTTCTACTACTACCACTGCTACCTCTATCTATTGAATACCGTGCTGATACGAGTGGACAGGAATAACACCTCGATCTCCCATCCGGATAGTGATAATTTTACGATACATGAGATGGACTTCCTCCTGAACCAACTGGAGATGATAACCTTGGTTCCGAGGGCGCGCTTGTGCGTTTAGCTTCAGGGCTGCTGCGGAGCGGCGGATAGGTATCATATCATACCCTCGTAGCGTCGACCGTGACGTTATATGCCTCAGCATGGATTTGAGTTGCGAGGGCGTGTCATTCATGTTTTGAGAACGACGTTCCCGGGAGGGATCCGAGACTGATTAGAAAGGTATCTTTTGCGGAGGGTGGTGGGTGTTGTGGATATGAAGTTTCCGAGCCTGACTGTGGAGTTGGGCTCTCTGAAGGGTCCGACGACGAACCAGGAGTAGCTGCTTGTTTCGTGAACTTAGAATCGATCCCTCGGGTTGTCTTCGATGGGAACGTCGGAACCGGCTGTCGTAGGGCTTTCCGATACCTAATCTTCGCAAGCAGCGAGTTCTTCCCGAAATCCAGCAAGGTACGAGAAACCATACCCACAATCACCTCACGGACGCTGTTCCCGCAATGGATGAACTCTACATGTCGTTTCCGCCGGGCTGGAGTTGCTGGGACCTCATCATCGATCACAATTATCAATTCCTGCAACCCCTTCAGCTTCTCTAGAAACCCATTGAATGCCTCCTTTTCGTCGCACATTATCTTCCAAAGCTCATATTGGAAAGCGATGTGTCGGATGTCCTTCAACTCGAACCAACGAGCTATGTCAGACAAGAGGCCGGCTGGTGAGTAATACTTAACTGCGGTGCTGACGTATAGGATGTCGTGCTCGAAGTCGAGCCCGCCGGGGACCTGCTTCATGTTTATTTCTCGGTATACGGAACGCGCTTCCTGGCGTGAATCGTGGCAGATATGCATGGCAATCGGTGTTTTGCCAGCTAGTCCTAGTATGCGCTCAGTCCCAAAGAGCTGCACAATCCGTGGCTCGGGGAATGTGTAGCGCCAGATCCTCCGTCGGATATCATATGGGAGACTCTGGAAACTTGAGATGTTGGTGACGGGCTTTGACCCTGCCGGGTCAGTCGGTTGGAGTCTCTCCTGCTTAGATCTGACGACGTGCAACTCGGACATCAGAGAGGAAACCAGAGAGCTGAAGGTGCCTATCTCCCGCGCCTGGAGTTTAGATTTTGCTTCTAAGGCCGAGAGTTTCTTCTGTTGCTCTGCTTCTTGTTCCGAGTAGTGTATCTGAAGTTTCACCAGCTGCATCGCAATAGTGGACAGTGCTAGTTGGATAGCTGGCGAGTCGCTGTCAGTTTTAAGCTGCAGTAGTTGCGTTGCGATATTGGACAGTGGCAGTTGGGTAGCCAGCGGCGATTTGCTGTTGGTAGTATCTGCCATTGTGATCCGTGAGATGTAGAATACGATCTGATGTTTACTGTTTAATGAAGCGGACTCAACTCTACAATAATCTTCTTGAATACACAAGGTCACACGCAAGGCAACGCAAGGCTGCCCAATGTGACTTATAACATATGACAAGCGCTACCTTTTGAGACATTCTGGGGGCCAAATATGTTGGATAGCTATGTGTCGTCGACCAGTGACAGGGGCCCATCAGTTATCAGATTTGGAGGGGTACAGTCACGTGTTGCATCAAACAAAACCATCCATAAAAATGTTTTGATGAAGTCCATTGGAGCTGCCTGCTTGATAGGAACAGGAAATTGGTCCTTGTTTAATTTCTATGATGATTTACGGCTATGTGGTTTTACTTTGGCTGTTGTGGCTTTGGGGTTGGCGTGTCTCCTGTCTTCATTTCGAGCTGGCTTGGTATCTGGCCTATGCCAAGATTTGGTCTGCATTTTCCCTCAAATCGACGAAGATCGCCGACAGCGACGCATGAAAACAAACCCCTCGACTACGCAGGATAGCTAGCGGATGCAAGATAGGAATTTGAAACTGCTTACGCTGCCGAGACAAGACTCCATTCTCCGCCACCCAGACCAGTTTGTGATTTACGTTTAGTCAAAGATAATATGTGGGTTGATGGCTTGCGAGAGGTGCTAATATTTGACAATGGGCGGAAATAAGTGAGTATTTTTTAACATATATAGTTACGCATTTAGTCTCACATATTCCGGATCTTTCCTTGACTGAACCATACCATCCCACGACGACTTCACCACCCAGGTATGAACTGCTAATATCATCTCATCGTCAAGGTGGTCATCCCAGCCAATCTGGACAGGTACAAGATTAGGGTTGCCCTCATCTATCTTCCCTGGAGGCTCGGAATCGTTTGCCCGTTGTGCTGATTCATCAATTTCCTTAAGTTGATTGCTTTCCCGTTGTGCATCTATTTGCCCAATAGAGTCTATACTCCAGAGAGTTCGGTAATAGCCGACTAGCTCAAGCCGGCTCAATAAAGTCGACCCAGTGCTGTTATTCTTGCAGAAGTCGCAAAACGCCTTTATAAACACAGTAGAGCCGGGAGTAGGTTTGACATCATCTCCACACATTAGATCGTCGTGTCGATCGAAAAATAAATGCTTCAGGTTCGGGAAATCAGAAAGAATGGCAAATATGTTGTCCTAGATGACAATTAGGATATGGTTAGCCGATAAAATCAAACTTCATTAACCAAATTCAAAGCAACACTTTTTATGTTGCAAAACGAGAATGTAAGTACCTGATCCTTGAATTCTAAAGTGAAACACAGCTGTTCAAGCTGCTTGCAGCTCGAGATTATACTCATTACCTCCAGGATTAATACAGAGGGAAATATCCACGGATCGCATTGAGGTAAAAAGAGGCATCTAAGCGTCTCAAAATGATTATTTAATTTGGGGAAATGGTCGATCGGCCTAATGGGATTACATAGAATTAGCTGCTCCAGTCCTTGGAACGACTCGACGAATTCAATGAATTCCTCGTTTTCGCAATTGGTAATGAGACTTTCAAAGCGTTGGCCGATACGCTGAAAGATATTCCACAACTTTTTCGACTTGGAAGTACCAATAGTATTTGCCTCCAACAAGGTAAATCTCCGAATAGAAGTGAAGTCAAAACCTTCGAGCCAGCCTGGAATTCCTGGAGATAAGGCGTTCCGTAGATGTAAGGAGTGAAGCCGCAGTTGGCTCTGTAGCTCAATTATCGGATTGACGATATTGAGGAGCTTGTCCTCGAAGTTGAACTCTTCGAGAAATCTCAGTTTGAGTTCTTTAAGACTTTTCATATTATCAACGAGGAGGCTGGACACATCTTCGGTTGTCTCCCGCGATGTGATGTCTGTTATTGCAAGAGACGAAAGAGAAGATCTCTTCATTGCGCATAGGCCCGGGGTGAATCCTGAAGGCCATTCTATTTTCAGATGATAGAAAAAGTCGCTGCTAAACCGATATATCAAAGATTTTAGCTGAGCTGGAGGCAAGCACCTCAAGAATTGGTTGGTAGGAGGCATTTCGGCTGTCCATCTGTATCCTTTAATGAGAATCTTCGATAAAAAAAGGGTATAAGGGCAACTTTGTAACGGTGTGTAGGTTTTCTTGGAAAATGACTTACACTAGTTCAGACAACATGGACATCCGGGGTAGTGCCATCCCAAATATCATATTTGCCCGAACCCACGGCGAATATATCGCAAGGCTGCTGGGATCAAAGTAAGTGCCTTTACCAGGAGCTCCCCAGCGGGTGCCATTGTTACTAGCTTTCGTATACCCATTTCTAACAGTCAACTTTCGAACATATCTGCACTGCTGGCGATAATTATTTGCAAGGCCACTCATCAAGTTATAGCTCATCAGGACGTCCATATCTGCGTCGTCTTCTTCGATATCTTCCGCTTTGATAAGATTCAGATGCGGGCTTAAGTCGATTATTGTATGCGAGTATATGAGAGGAGTCACCCTTTCGTTCATATCTCTGTTCACTTGACTCAAGCTTACCAGCTCAGAATCGGCATGGAGCTACGAAGCGGGGTCAGTAAAACTAATTGCGGTTCGGCTGGTATTAAAGCATTAGGCATACCAGCTCCAGGACCTCATCGAAAACATAGACCGGAAGTCGCTGAAGGTCATTCAGTTTATCCATGCTGGATTAATTCCGACTTGAAAGTCTGAATTGTGTGTAACAACAGGCATGTCATACTGAGTGAGGCATTTGGTGTTGCTGGTTGCCTGGAGAGGTGCATGAGCGATTTCGGCATCATCCAACCGACTGAGATACATCTACAAATGGCTAGACTCAATATTCCCTTAGATTGACAGCCATGTGGTGCATATGTTGATTATATTTGAGCTATTGGTCCACCATCTCCCAAATCAGACAGAAGAAACGCAATTTATTTCAGCTACAAGCTAAACATTAATTCTGGTAATATTTTTCCTTGACATTGTCTAATCTTTCTCAACTTCAAATGCTTTCTCCTTAAAATCCCCATTTGATATGAGTTCCGTCCAATATATAACTTCCATTCGCTGCTGTGCATTGCCACTCCAAGAACGGGCTCGCACATGGTAGCGGCCCCGTTTCCTTCGGCTCAGGGCCCGCATCCTTCAGTAACAAGGCCGCAACATCGTGAGCTCCCAGCTTTACAGTCCAGTTCCTTACGGCCACGCCGACATCTTTATGAAGCCACATATCTCTCACCTTGTACTGTCGTCCGGCTCGTACGGCCCAGTTCTCCGTCAGGTCAAACGAGATCTCCTGCGTCTCGTTCAGGGTGTTGATAATCATAAATACTGGGCCATACGAGGATGTTCCAGCCCAGAATCCTGGTGGGGAAGTCTCGTTATAGGTGATGCGCGAGAAATCCGATTGGAGGCCAATACGGAAAGGCGCAATAGCTTTCCCTTCAATGGGGTCCTGGTTGATGGCGATGAGTTCCTTATTACCAAGAATCTCAATGGTGTCCTTCGTTGCGTTGCGCAGATCCGTTCCGATCAGGAGGTGACTTTTGAGGAGTGCCCAGGCAGTAAAGTGCGTGCGCTGCTCGGCAACGGTGAGGTCGCCGACAGGAGCACCACGACCAGAGTTTCCAACCTCGAGCATATCCATATCGCCGTGCTGGTAGTGGTCCGTTGCGCCATAAGACGTCGATGCCAGGAGGAGGATATTGGCTATCGCAGACCAGTATGGCCTAATGTCGCCGTCTATACGCCACGCGTTAGAGATGCGCGGCGCCCAGTTATGCGGATCTTGCCAGCCCCATTGGCAGAGGGAGTATATGAATTTATTGGGATGTTTGTATTTCTTGGCGAGGGTCTCGATGGCGTCGAGCATACGTTCATATCGCCCATACTCATTTTCCATCGTGACATTATCATAGCTATGCAGCATGTTAGGAAAAGGACCACCACATCGTCATACGAGAGAGATACGTACGGGATGTAACAATTGTCATACTTGACAATGGCACCTTTGCCTCCCCATCCCCAGCTCCGCCACGTCTCAAGATCCTGCAGCTCGCGGCCATAGGCTCCCGGTAAACCACCACAGGTCTTATATCCGTTCGAGGAATACGCGCTCGCTGAGAGACCGTACTTATTCAAGCTTTGACTCCATTTCAACCTGGCCGCCCAAGTTAGATATAGCCCGCAAGTGGATTTGGGGAATATTTACATTCCGTCTGGAAATTTCGCAGGATCGGGAATCATTTCGCCCTTCGCGGAGCGGTTCTCCAATGCATAGAAATCGTCGAGGATGAATGTCTGTCCACAATCAGATTGGCCTTCCCGTTACACTTCGGCCTATGTCTTGGGCACTTACATTATAACCCGCATCTACAAGCCCGTACTCCTTCATAAGTCTGGCTTGCTCGAGTGCCAAAGCGCCATCGTAGTTTTTCTCAAACGCATTATAGGTATCATAGCCCATGGTGGGTAGTTTTCCAACGCCTGTCACAGTGTCAGCATATAGTCAAAGACATGATATCCTGGATATTCCGCTTACCATTGTTCAGAGCCAATGCCTGGCCTGCAAAGAGGAGCGCACTCAATCCGAGGGAATTCATGATCAATGACAGCCTAGGCTAAACAAACAAACAAAAAGAACTATGGGCATCGAGCACTTATAACCCCCTCCATCTCGACAATGCAAGGTTTTGCGCCGCACTCGGAAGTAAACATTCCTGCCCTAGGGTCGGGATAATATTTCCGTATTCTCCTCCACTGATAGCCAAAGCTACAATTCATCTGGTCTTCGGAGTGGTAGTGGGGAACTCAGAAGAGAAGGTCTGAATCCCAGCACCCTGATAGCTAGTGCGGGGTAAGATATGCCAGGACTGCATGGGTGTATGGCTCATATATGTTGCTCTTACGACCAGGGCATTTGCGCCTGGTACTTCGACGCTTAAGTGACACGGACACAACTGTGGGGGTAGTTCAACGGTCGACATTCCGATGGGTCGGTCAAGTTGCCAGTGCAAATCTGGGCCATAATCCGACGGATTGTCGGTGAAGATTCTGAGTGGCCTTGCGAGGAGGATAGACGGCTAAAATGGCACTGGTCGTGGAGTTAATAACCTAAAGTTGGAGAAGTTGGGGAAAGGCCGAAGCTACTCTAAATTGGACCGGAGTGCGGCGCTCCGCCCTTTTGCCATCCAAATCTGGAGTTGGTGAGCACCAACCTGCATTTGACATCGAGAAGTGAGTGAGTATTTGGAGGCATCTAGCGATGTATTTTATTTCCACGATACTTGGAAAGCAGTTGTGGGTATGCAAGGTCTCTGCCTCAAATGGGCGCCGAACGTTTCCGTATGGCGTAGAACAGCACACCAGAAACCACGTTTCTCGCTGAAATACATCAATTGCATCGGTGGACTGCTTATCTCGAACAATTGATTGGAGTTGGTATTGAGGATATGTCTATATATAAAAAATGTCGTTATATCATAATGCGGGGCCGTCAAACGTCTCTCTCTTATAGCGCATGTACCACGAAGTCTTATGCGGGAATATGACTTGCTTCTCCCTCGTAAACCCGTTATCTTCGAGTTGCCTGATGAATCTGGACAGGGTGTGAGCTTCTCGTCTGCGGAATTATGGCGCGTTAATATCATGACATACCTCTCATTATCAATCCGCGGTTCAAGGACCAAACATTCAGTCCTATAATCTGCGGTCAAGGCATAATGGACAAACGCGCTGATCCACCTACTCAGTCGATGCGCGCCCCTAAACTCTTGCTCTCCAACCACCACATGCACGCCTCTATCCCAATCCTTCGCCTCACCCGCATTCAGAATCCTGCCCAGCAGGTCCTCCTTCACCCAGTAAAGCTCAAAATACCCAAACGGCCGCCCATTCCAGCACCCGATCACGGGAAAAGAATGCTTGGATTCCAAGTTGCCGCGTAGGAACTTTTCTTGGACCTCGATGGGACCGTCACAGCCCCAGGATTTGGAGACGCGCGGGTCGTTCATCCACTTGTGGATGAGCTGGACGTCGGTCATCTGTCGGGTGTCGGTCCCTTCTGGAGCTGGCGTGAGAGTGTGAGGCGGTGAGGGAGAGGGTATTACCCCAACGCTAAATGAAGACTCCAAACCGTTGTATACAACAGGTTTGTCACTCAAACTAGCAACACGAAAGCTTAACTGCTCGCCCAGACTGGAGATATAGCGCGTGTAAAATGTCTCGCCCTGTTGCGGAGGCTTTGGCCTGATGGGGTGGCGTACACCATTTGTATTTATGTATTGGAGGGGAGGAGGAGGGTAGTAAGTTGGAAGGTGACTTCCAGACGCATAAGGATGTGGAAGGAGGTGTTGCCCCAATAGAGTTTGAGGTCCTGGGCTGGGCGTGAAACCGTGCAGGTCTACGCCGCTATGTTCAAACTTGGTCTGAGTATGAGACGGTGAGCCAACTGGACTCCCGTAAGGCGATCCCGGAATTGACAGCGGATTTGCATTTGGCGACAGGGTGAAGAGAAAAAGCCTCGGTGAGAGTTGCCAAAACGCACGGCGAGATGTGAACATCTCCTCCCAACCCTCAGTATTATCGCTACTTGCGCCCACCGCCGAGTTCTCCGAGTATATGAGGCCCATACGCTCGAGCTTGGGGAGCAGGTTTCTTCCACGGAAGACTCCCTCTCTCTTTATTTTTATACGCCAGTCGGCTTTCGGTTTTCCGTTGTCGGGCGTGTTCTTCGAGGCCTCCGTTGTGACAAAGGGCGAGGGCTCGGTCTGGTGGAAGTACCAGTACAGAGTGGCCCATAGCATCATGGCGATCTGCCTAGTCGGGCTCGCAGGCGCCTTGAAGTCATCTGTGCTTGGGAAGGATATCGAGCTTATGAAGAGGCAATCGTTTTGTAGGGTAGGTTTCGAGAATTTGTGAATGTGGAGTTTCTTCGGCGTCGATTTGCCGTCTGCATTCTGCGCAGTGGTCCCCTCCGCGGAGTTAGGGGCATCGACGAGCTCTTCCGACTGTAATATAATCGTCCATCCCTTTGGAAATACAGCACTGTGCACGTTCAACTCGCTGGGCTTGAAGAACAAGCCGCCAAACACCGGTTCCACGCTGAGGCAATGCCCATTTGGCAGGTGGATGACATCGGTCATGACGTCTGGTGTTTGCGAAGCTGGCGCGGTGTTCGAACGCTTGAAGCTACAAGCAAATAGTTAGCAACGCAGAAATTTCGAATATTTACCATCGTCATGATTGTGATCGGTGTCGAGGGGTTATTTTACCCCACTGTGGAGAACGAACCCGGGCGGCGGCGTTCGGTTCCATCTGTTTACGAGGGTAAGATCGGTGGCGGGGAGTCGTCGATAACCGCGTCCTACTGGTGTGGTACCTGCCTAGTTTTCGCTGACAGGGATGTTTTCGGAGCAGAAACCAACGGACCGCCAATGGTCATTCATCGTGATATTTGCTTCTTTTATTTTCTTGTGCTCGTGACAGGATCAATATTTTACTGTATAATGTAATGAATTCTACAGCGAGGGTTTTGGGAAATTATGTTTAGCCGTGTCCTGCTGGAGATCTCGGAGATGCTGATCTCGGCCGAGATTCACCCCCCATCATTTTAAGTCCGATCAAAACACTAAAATTATTCCTAGTAAATCTTGCTAGGTATAGATGGAATTGTGAACTTCCGGTCATAAATCAAATATCATAGCCATATCCTCGATATCACTGCCCGGTGATCTAGTATCGTACTCCGTTTTGAGATATAGGCCAAGACTCTAGATGAAATTGACACCCCTCATTTCAAACCTATGCGCTTCCACTGCCTCAACTGCCGACAGCTTCTCCTGGAGGATCAACCCCACCTCTCTTCCCGCTTCTTCCCGTGCGCAACGTATGTATCTGGCAGGAGTTTCTGTTGGTCAAGGCTATGTTCCAGTTGGACAGCCTGTGACAAAACCTGATCACATCTGATTAAACTTCCGATTCCTTGTTCTGAAATATCTTTTTCTGTTCCCAGTGCTGATCTTTCAGGGGTCTTAAGTGACTCCAAACCGTAAGCTCTGGCACTTCCGCCATCTGACAAGTTAAAATGGCATTGTTCGAGTCTCCATGTAGCCGATAGACATCGTTTAGATCTGCCAACAAGTATGCTTCCTCGAAACTTTGATCGACCGGTTTGCTATAGCGCTTGACGACAAACTTCATTACGTTCCTTGCTATCCCGTCGAGTTCCTCGGCCGCTTCATATAAATTCAACTTGCCCGTGCATATTCTAGACCTATAATCATAACAAGCATAGTATTTTGGAGCAGGAGAAGACAACATAGAATATGCGTGTAGCAAGTTAGTGGGGTTGGTTATCAACCACAAATCAAGGAGGGGTCATTTCCAATGGAAATCGAGCGTGCTTGGCCTTCGCTTGGCCTTTTGCCAGCTTCTTCCCCCTCCGTGGACCAGATTGCACATTTGGAAGATAAAAAGTTAAACATGATTCCTATATTATGAAGCTCTAGGAAGGCGCACACGATAGAACAGCGTGTAGTCAGCCAAGGTTGTATATTTAAGCTCCCAGCACCTTGATGGATGTGGATTGAATCAGCGCACAGACGTCCACGGCGTCGTCATCGATAAGCTAAAATTGACGGGAGCCGCCTTAGTCAGGGGGGACTGGTTCGGACCCCAGCAATCGAAAAACTTCCAATTTCAACAAAAGCCACAACTTAACTCCCAAGGATACCGCAGCTTCCGGCCTCGACTACCAGCTTGTACTATTATCTTGTCTACCCGACTAAAGAGCATAATCTCTTTTCCCGCACCAAAAAAGTCGACACGGGAGCCATTGGCACCCCCTGAGCCTCAGCAATATGGGCTTACCACCCTGGACAGGTAGTTCCAGCCAGCGATTCGTCCTTGTGACTGGCTCCAATTCGTACGAGACCTTAAATCCTTCCACCTCAACTCTCTGACTTCGCGACCGCATCTGACATCAGTCTTCTAGCGGCCTCGGATTGGCAACCTGCGAGCGCCTCATTGACGAATTCCTCACTTCCCCGACCCGCGATCCGCTCTCCCACCTCATCATCGTTGCATCCACACGCTCACCCCGAAAGACCGCCGAGACTATCAACTCTTTGCGCCAACATCTCCAGACTCTTGCGAAGACTTCGACTGAGCTCGAGAAGCGCGCTTCTTCCCAGAGCAAAGAATACCAATGGCGCGATGCCGTGGGCCGCGTCCACTTCCTCGGCGCAGAAGTTGATTTGTGCGATCTGAGGGGCATTTATAAGTTTGCGGCGCAGTTACGCGGAGAGGAGGGTGGATTATCGAGCCCAGACACCGAGGATGGAAGGCCAGGGCTGAAGAACGTCATAATTCCACGACTCGACGTTTTATACCTCAATGCGGGGATCGGCGGATGGACCGGGATTCCGTGGCTACTGGCCATCTATAAATGCATTGTCGGCATCCCGGACTCGTTCTCGTACTGGAAATGGTTCAACTTCCCTTCCCCCGCAGCCGTCGTGCGCCACCAGTCCGCATTCAACAAATCCACAAACGCCCAAACAGAGAAGTTAACCAACGGCGATTTGACAGAAGAACCACCACTCGGAGAGGTCTTCTGCGCTAACGTCTTTGGCCACTACCTTCTCACCCACGAGCTGATGCCCCTACTCTCCACGTCCCTCGACCGCGAGCCCGGCGACCGCGCACGCGTTGTCTGGGTGTCAACCCTCGAACCCGACCCATCCGACATCTCGATGGACGACCTCCAAGGCTTTACCGCATCGAACCCCTACTACGGCTCCAAGCGCGTCACCGACCTCATGGCCATCACCGCCAAACTACCCGCCATACAGCCCATCAACAGCGATTTCTTCGCTATGCGCGATTCCATTGCGCCGAAGCCCGAAAGCGAGGACGAGGCTGAGATTAAGCTTGTCAGACCGGAATTCTACGTCACGCAGCCTGGGATCTTGCACACGAACATTAGCGGCATGAACCCTTTTGCTGCTTTCTTCATGGCACTTGGGTTTTATATCGCCCGCGTCATGGGAAGCGTGTGGCACCCTATCGTCGGATACCTGGGTGCTGTGGCACCGGTCTGGCTTGGGCTTGCGGACCAGTCGATGTTGGATTCGCTCGATACGCGTGCTGGACCGGAGGGCAAGGTTAAGTGGGGTAGTAGCACGGATTGGTGGGCGAACGAGAGGGTGAGGATGACGGAGGTGGTGGGTTGGGGGTGGAGCGGGTATGTTGGGGAGAAGGGGGAGAAGAAGGGACGGGCTCCTCATGCGGTTGATCTTACGCCGGAAGCGAGGGAGGAGTTTGTGGCTGATGGAAGAGTGGTGTGGGGGTATTTGGAGGGTTTGAGGAGGGAGTGGGAGGGAAGGTTGAAGATTGGTGATGCGGCGTAGAGATAGAAGGATAGATAGGCCTCTGAGATGTTTATGATGTTTTGTAAGATACATACCTATTAATTGATAATGGCTGTTGACATACACGAAAAACCAAACTATGCCTCATAGTAGGTTCCTCAGAACTTCCAGGTGCTATATATGGAAATAACGATTACCAAGCAACCCTCATCGCAGCTTCCTCGGGGCTTCTAAGTCTTTTATATATATACCGAAAAAGAAGGATTACCAAGCAAACCTCATCGCAGCTTCCTTGGAATTTCTAGTTCCTATATATGGCAAGAACGATTACCAAGCAAAGGCTCATCGCAGTTTCCTCAAAACTTCTGATCTCATATATGGAAGGAACGATTACCAATCAAAGGCTCATCGCAGCTTCCTCAAAACTTCGAGGTCTGATATATATACATGGAAAGAACGATTACCAAGCCAACCTCATCGCAACTTCCCTAGAGCTTTCAGCCCCTATATATGGCAGGAACGATTACAAAGCAACACTTAATCGCAGCTTCCTCAGATCTTCTAGGACTTATATATGGAAAGAACGATTACCAAGCAAGCACAGTCGCAGCTTCCTTAGAACTTTCAGTTTCCAGATATAGAAGGAACGATTAGCAAAGCAAACCCTCAATCGCAGCTTCCTCGTGTATGGGTATGGCCTGTCTGTTGCTTGAGAAAGGGGGGTTTGTTTTTCGAGATTTTTTTGATATTATTGCTAGTAGGTTCGTGCATGCTACTGTTGGTGGATAGGTATGCTATTGTAGGTGACTAGGTCTATGCTATTGCTAGCAGCTAAGGATATCTATCGGTGTTTACTCCCCCTCCTCGCCGCTCAAAACAACAGCATTTAAGCTTCCGTTTCCGCCTCCTCCCCATCAAAAACAACATGGCTAAAGGCGCCCTCCTCTTCCCCACCTCCCCCACCCACAAGCCACTCCAAATCATCCACATCACTCTTCAAGCGCGCCATGAGTCCATTTCCAGGTCTCGGATATGGCGGGCTCGCCGGAGTGCTCTCGCGACTCATTGCATCATCCTCCTCGCCTTCGGCGTCCGCATCTGTGTAGGCCTGCGGCAACGCGGGGACAGTTACTGCGGGTGAAGGAGTGCTGGAGGCGGCAGATGTCTCGTCCAGGGGTAGTTTGCGGATGAAGTTTATAGGGGCTGCTGGGTTAGCAGAGGCGCGAGGGAAGAGGCCAGATGCGGCGGTGGCGGAGGGCGGGAAGGGCTGTTGAGGGTGCACTTTTACGCGGCGTATCGCGTTTGATGGGATGGTTGTGGAAGGAGGGGTAATAGGAATTGAGGGGTGGAGAGTCGTGGCTTGGAGGAGGAGATCCACGAGGTGGCTGTGTGGGAAAGATGTGAGATATGCGCGTTTCTATCTCGGTTAGTTCCGCATGTAAGGGGGGGACAGACAAGCATACCTCAGTCGCACTCTTCCCAGCCCAGGGTGTATCCTCATTATTTTTCGGCGTACTGGTTTTTGCCCTCTCGCCCTTCCTCTTGTCTCGTTTCGCTGTGCAATCAACACAGAACCATTCCGTAGTTTCGTCCTTTACCACGTCCTCTGTTATAACAGGGTCATGGCACATTTGATGCCACCCAATATTGCACCCATCGCAGAAAACTATCATATTATTTGCCGGGCTGTGCCCGCGTCCGCACCTCTTACAAAGCGCATTCTCCACATTCCGCCCTGGCCCTGGCCGTCGATTTGGCGCGTTTCGTTTCCTCGGGGGCGCCGCCGAAACCTCGGGCACAAACTGTGTAGGTTTGACGACCTTGCGCCCACTCTGTGTCATGCTCGGAAAGGCCGTCACCGACGCCGAGTCGTCGCTCTCGTCCTCGTCCCCCAAGTCACTCATTTCTTCGCTCTCCCCCGCGCTTTCCTCACTTTCGTCCTTAACCCTCTTCCGCTTCCGGCTCTTCGCACCGCCCTTCTTCCCTACGGGTGTCCCGCTCGCTGACCCCTTCGACGCGCTGCCGGTGCGGGGCGCCTTGGGGGGTCGGCGAGGCGTAGGTGTAGGGGCCGCAAACTCCATATTATGTGATGTTTTCATTCCCTCCAGCACAGTGCGCCGCACGTCTTCGTATGCCGCTGCTTGGTGTTGGGAGGCGACGCCCAAGACGGAGGTGGGATTGAGAGGGCCGCCCTCTCCTCGGAGGCGCTTGAGGATCATTTCCGTGGCGGCGGAGAAGGGCTGGGAGACGAAGGGCGACGGGCCGCTTGAATTTTTCGTGGAGGGGGTGCCATTGGGGGCGCTCGCATTGTCTGCGGCTTCGCTGGGGTCGGTTGTTGTCATTGTGTTTGCGCCGCAGGTCGGCTGGAGCCTTGCTGGATGTGCTTTCTCTTTGCGCCTCCGCTAATTGGTGCCGTCAGCAGTTCCCAATGGGCAACTCCAACGTGTCGCCGGAATAATCTCAGTTCCGGCTATAATGGTATATAAATGAGGTTTGTAGTGAAGACGCATACATCCGTCCAGTATAAATGTGGTGTCTAGTGATGTTTGTGTCGTCAAGGCGCTGTCCGAGTATGGAGTATGTTGACAGACGGAATTCAATCAGAATTCGATGCCATTGGCTCCTGGCAATAGTTCAAGCGGTAAGATGATAGACTGGCGACCTTCACGACGTCAATTCCGATGCTCTATAATGGAAGCTGAATATCTAAACCAATAGTCATCCGCCCAAATTGGAAACCTAGCGAGCACGTGACATATATTTCACGTGACTGGGTTATAGAAACCATTACCCACCTAGATGAAGCTAGAAGGGATAGTTTCGTAGTGGATGTACTGATTATAGGCTGTGAGTATCAAGATTATACTGATTACTAGAAGTGCGTCAAATATTAAACATCCTAAGTGCAATCTCTTGCCTATGCCTTCGTCCATGCGTAATCTTGTTCCGCCCCACGTGTAGTGCATATGACAATATTTTATACGAAGATATTGTTAAGGGACAATAATGGAAAAGAACAGGAAATACACTATCGAATCACTAGTGTAGCTTGCAGTTGCCAAGCAGCACAAATTATCATATCACGAATCCCAAATCAAGAAAAAAGGGTATATTCCTGGACGCCAACCAGCCCCAATTCACCTAACGCTTCTCATCATCCAACCATGCCTTCGCCGCCTTAGCACTCTCATGCGCCACTCTAAATAGTTTCCTCTCTTCCTCATCCAAGCCCCTCAAAAATTCCACTGCCTCCGCTGCCACACCCGCCCCACTCCTCCCACCCACATTGCTTGCATGATCTACAATCTCCCCCGACCTCTTCTTAAACGCCTCTTGCAGCACCGCTAGCATAGGCTCATCGTCAAATAACGCTAGGAGTCGTGCCGCAAGAGCAAAAAAGTAGGGCGCCTGGGCGCGTAGGTCGACGGCGGTGGGGGCTGCTTTTAGGGCTGCGATGACGGTAGGGGAGAGAGCCTCGGGGAGGTCGAGTGAGAGCACGGGTTTGGGCGGTGTAGGAGAATTCAGGGCGACTGTTTCGGCGAGCCAAAGTGGGAGGGAGAGAGGAGTGGAGGCTTTGAGCATGGGTGTCGAAGAGGCGTCGAGGTGGCCAAGGCCGGGGACGGCGAGGGTGAAGTGGCACGGGATTTTCTGTGGTGGTTAGCGGTGGCTCTGTGAAGAGGTGATTGGGAAGGGAATACTAACTTGAGCGTCCGTGAGGATCGCATCAACATCGTAGTAGGACATCCTGGAGGCTGTTGTGCGGATGGTTTTGGCCCGCGATGGTTTTGGGCCTCGAGTTTGATTCAGGCTGCGAGAACGCGTCGAGATGCTCTACTACAGCCCGTTATGACAAGTAATTTTCTATTAGAGCAGAAGTAGAGCTGACACTAGACAATGAGAAATCGGATTGATATGAAGAGTAACAGAATAGCTACATGCTCGTCATAATACAAAAGATTATACTTGAACAATAGGACAACTTAAGTTTCTTGTGAACGCGTCCATCGTTATCGATAAGGGGAACCCCACGACGTATGGGCGGTGAATGTTTCCGAGTGTGTTTGTGTTGTCTGACAAAGCTTCGAATCTAGACTATTTGTGGCGACTCAAGGCGGCAGAAATATACGGCTAAACCTACCAGTAGTATCGGCAAAAACGGGCTTGGCAATTATCACTGTACAGTAATATGACGTTTTACTCCGAAGCTCTGTTTACTTGCTCATGATTTCATATCCGTCATCTTCCACATACCTAAATTTATCTTTGCCCAACTATTTCGTTTGCGCAATCTTATAATCTTTACTGTTAGATATCCAATCACTACACAATGTCTGCCACACTTTTCCGCAGCTCCCCGGCTGTCCGCTCAGCCCTCAAGGCCGGAGCTTCAAAGAGAGCCGCCGGAGTTGCAAGCACCACCTTTGTCCGCGGAAAGGCCACCCTACCAGACCTTCAATGTAAGCTCAACCTACCACTTTCTTTGTTGAATTAATGTACTCACGAATATTTATCAGACGACTATGGCGCACTCGAGCCAGCCATCTCTGGCAAGATCATGGAGCTCCACCACTCCAAGCACCACCAAACCTATGTCACCAGCTACAACGCTGCCACCGAGCAGTTCCAAGCCGCTGAGGCCAAGCAAGATATCGCCGCAAAGGTTGCTCTGCAGCCATTGATCAACTTCCACGGTGGTGGTCACCTCAACCACACCCTGTTCTGGGAGAACCTGGCACCAAAGAGCCAGGGCGGTGGTGGAGAGCCATCCGGCGCGCTTAAGGTAGGCTCACTTCATCCAATGGCAGAGCTCGATATTCTTTGATCTCGAAGCATAATCTGTACGAATGTAACAACGGCTAACCGCTTGTGATAGACCGCTATTGATGACTCGTACGGCTCGTTCACCGATTTCCAAAGCAAGTTCAACACAGCGCTTGCGGGTATCCAGGGCAGTGGCTGGGCATGGCTCGTGAAGGACAACCAGACCGGTAAGGTCCTGATCAAGACCTACGCAAACCAAGACCCAGTTGTCGGCCAATACACTCCCATTCTGGGTGTCGATGCGTGGGAGCATGCATACTACCTGCAGTATGAGAACCGCAAGGCCGAGTACTTCAAGGCCATCTGGGATGTCCTTAACTGGAAGACCGCGGAGAAGCGTTTCTAGATGCGGCATGTGAAAAAATAATAGCTACATATATATATTGCAAATGACATGTAAGAGTGGCGAATGTACCACAAACTGTCCAATCTATTGCCTAGCTTTGCCCCCAAGACTTTGTTATAGAATGTGATTCGTTCTTCAATTACCGCAGATTCTCACGGTGTTTGCTGTCAAGCTGATGCGTGATACAGAGATTTTACGAGTTTTCGATCGATTGGCAGCCCTCAACCCTAGAGTCGGCCTGATCATGCATTATACTATTTTCCGAGCTCCGAAATGAATTTCGCGGAGAGCGGCTTCTTCAGCTATCGCTCCCGCACGGGCCATTGAACCACTGTTCAAGGTGACAGAATTTCAGGAATTAAATTGCAGTGTCTCAATGTTAATCTTAAAGCCAACACCTACGTAATTATATATAATTTAGGAGCCTGCACGTATCCTTATATTCAAGAACAAGATCGCCAGTCAAACAAACCTCTGCCAGAGAGAAATTTCCTTTATTGCGTTGAAAAAGGTACGGCTGTGACCTGGACGTGTTTGCGCCAACAGGCGGGACGGAGGACGGGATCTAGGCGTGTGTTGTGGGGATCGCGTTCATAGCCTGATTCTCCCCGCTGCCGCCCATTGAAAACTTGCTGGCGAAGGCAAACAAGGCGCCGACACCAAGAGAGATACCAGGCAGCGATTCACTCGTTTGGAAAGAAGTCTCATCAATGGCCACTAGCCTGATATTCGACACTCCTTCGGCTCGCTCTCGCTGTTGTGGTGGAGACGGGCCCCTTGGGACGATATCGACCTGCCCGCCGTTCCCGTAACTCGAGTCCAACTGCGACGCCGACTGCGGAGACAGCTCCTGGAGATAGTATAAACATACAAGACGAAATTGGATACCGCCGGGGCTTTCTAGAAGCGTTGATTATCGAGTGTTGTGCGTAGTCCGGGCGATGGACGGGGAGCCTCGAAATGCCGCCTCGACCGCCTATAGAGGTGATGGAGCCGTGCCGGTGCAGAGGAGCCGGAGCCTGAGACGATTGCTCTCGGGGAAGAATGGGTCTCCTGCGCCTATAACCTCTTCGCCTACCTCTATGTACCCCTCCACGCCTAACTTTCCTGCGGCCCCTCGACCCCAACAACTCGCAAACGCCCAGAGACAAAGAGATATGGAACAAGACTCTCGCACACAGCGTTCAGCCTCGAACGATTCCTATCATTCCAACCGAAACCCCTCCTCATACACCGGAAACAAACGCCCGATGCCTTCAGAGGCAGCACGTCTTCGCTCTTTAAACACTAGCCACCAAAGCCCAACCTACCCCGAATCACCACTATACCAACAGGAAATGGCACCACCACGCGAGAACTTCTCGAGACCTAGACAGGCTAGCACGAATAGATCTGGGGATCCTCCTCGAACAGCTCCCAGTTCAGGATCCACGATGCCACAACAGTCTCGGGGTGGAGCTTCAGCGACTCGACCTGGGTTTGGCCGTGATAGAGGCTTTTCCGAATCACCAGCCACCATGGCAACGAGCCCAGCGTCTTCACACTCACTACGCAACGCATATTCTATTCCTGAGCTTTCAGCAACAGAGAGGCAGCAGAATGGCCCGGGCAACCTAGGTAACTCACGCAACGGATTGAGATTCAGAGACAACAGCCCTAACCCTGACTTGCGTCCAAACTTTGCGAGGGCGAGCAACGACGAAGAGGTCCGAGAAAGCCTCCGATCTATCCAAACTTCTGGCACTGGTACTACATCTGCTACATGGGATACGCCCACCTCGTCAGTCTTCCTCGACACGGCGAGAAGTAGTGTCTTGAGCAAGGCCAGCTCGGCTAGGTCCGTAAACGGGAGAGATCAGATTGACGATTTCCTTGACATGTACGAAAGTGGATTTGGCGAGTCTGAGGCAGAGACAGAGGACGAACTCCGCCAAAATAGACCGGCAACTAGCCGATCTATCCAATCTGAAATGGGTAACCAACAATCAATTCCTGAACTTGACGGCCTCGATCTTGCCGTACCCAAACTTCAACACATGATCATTCGCGATTCTGCAGACATGTTCAGAACCGCCACCGCCTACGTTGATCCTTTCAATGCCGATGCACAAAACGACAATGGCTCCAACCAAAACCAGCCAGTCCCAGGAATCTCCAGACAACCATCTGGGCGTGGAGTCATCGGAGCACAGTACTCCAAATTTGACGATACGCGCGACCATTATGGGTTTAAGAAGAAGTCATTGCATGTTCCCCTTGACGTCTATGAAGCCTGGAACCGCCAGTATACAGTCTACCTGGCACGCCGCCGCAGAAAGTGGGTTGACATTATGAAGGCCAATGGACTCGGCAGCGAGGACCCGACCCGCTTCCCACCGAAGTCCCATAAAATGAAGCGATGTGTCCGCAAAGGTATCCCGCCCGACTGGCGAGGAGAAGCCTGGTTCTTCTATTCCGGCGGCCATGCGATCCTGGCGAAGCATCCCGGTGTCTACGATGACCTCGTCCGACGCTCTGCGAATGGAGATCTTTCCCCAACCGATGAGGAACTTATCGAGCGCGACCTGCACCGAACTTTCCCGGACAACATCATGTTCAAGCCCGACCCAGTTGTCATCCCATCTTTCCTACTGACTGGTCCGGACGCCATGACGCCGCCAGATCCAGCCGCTGTCACGGAGACGCCCATGTTGAAGTCACTCCGCCGTGTCTTGCAAGCAACCGCGATCTACAACCCCAAGATCGGCTACTGCCAGAGCCTCAATTTCCTTGCCGGCCTCCTTCTGCTTTTCATGTGCGAGGAGCGCGCTTTCTGGATGCTCGATCTGATAACCAAGGAATATCTCCCCAACACGCACGAAGTGAACCTCGAAGGTGCGAATGTCGACCTCGGAGTCTTGATGATGGGTGTCCAGGAGTCCATGCCTGCTGTTTGGGCCAAGATTGGAGGTGAATTGGACGGAAGCTCCGGTGCGAGTCAGCGCGGAGTTCCCTTCGATCTGCCGCCTATCACTCTATGCTGTACGGCATGGTTTATGTCTTGCTTCATCGGCACCCTTCCGATCGAGACTACGCTCCGGGTTTGGGATTCTTTCTTCTTCGAGGGAAGCAAGACGCTCTTCCGTATCGCACTCGCCGTGTTCAAGGTTGGCGAAACAGAGATCAGAGCCGTCAATGACCCAATGGAGGTCTTCCAAGTTGTGCAGACGATTCCGCGTAGATTGGTCGATGCGAACGCTCTTATGGAGGCATGCTATCGCCGCCGCAATGGGTTTGGTCATGTGACGCAAGATACTATTGATGCGAGACGCGCTGAGAGGAGGCAGATATATGCCGATAATCGGGCTGAGAAGGCGGGAGAGCGAGAGCGCGAGCGACCAACGAGCAAGAGGTCCAATCTGAGCAAGACGTCCAATCGGTTTTTTTCTATTCGTGGCAAGAAATGACTATCAAAGCTCAAGACAAAGCTCAAGATAAAGCGCAGGGAGAGTTCGTTTTTATGACAGAAAGTTGTCTGACGAGATGCGCGGTTTCTTTATGTATTTCCTTTCGGGACAACAAGTAGGGGGTGCATTATGGGGTATATGGGACAAGGAGAGTGGTATGGGATGCATTGTGGGGTATAAGGGGTAGGAAGAGCGGTATGGAATGCATGGTCTGGGTTACGTTATGGATGGGTTGGTATCATTCAGATGGGCGACTTTGATCAGAAGGAGTTGTGGTGATGGAGGCGTATGTGTATCATAGACAGGACCTAAATATTACGAGGTAACGAAGAATGCAAAAGGAAAATTCAACTATATTGTGTGGTTCTTGATAAGGACGTAAATATCGCTGTGTGTTATGACATTTATGTTGGGGTAGAGCAGCTGAAGAGATAAATTATATCAACCTAAATTGCTAGTATTAATTCCCAGCTTTGGACGGCCTTCTTCAGACGATTAGGCGGCACATGCCAATCCATTGCTTCATGACCTCAGCAAGTTTCCCAATCCCCAAATTCGATATTTAAAAATCGACGGATCAGAGGATGGAATGCGTCACCATAACAAGGCACATTCATGTCGCAAGGGTCCTAACTGCTGAATTGGTCGAGCTTTGGAGGCCAGGCATATTTAATCCCGTCGCAAACCCGCTGGCCTTGCTTCGCCCACCTGGCCGCAAGGACGCTTTGTAAAGGTTCACGATATACCACAAACCAACAGAGCGACTTTTATATGGCTATTTGCTGATACAAGGTGTAGCAGCCAATATATTCGACCTGGGAGGCATTCTCTACTTTCAGCCTTGTGTGTTGGAACTATGTGATGTTGGAGCTGCGCAATGTTGGAACTGCGCCATGGCCGACCAAATGCGACCGCATCCACCGTGGAATGAAGCTGGGTCAACGAGGTAGGAATGTTGAAAATACGAAAGGGATAGAAAGATTATAAAATGCTCATGTCCCCACGGTGACCTCTGAATCCATCAAGTCATCTCGATATTTCAGCAAGCTTATCCCATACTACATTCACTTCGATATTTCTCGCATTCCCAGGAATTATTTGCCGTCACAAACAAATATTCACCTTTGCACGACTTATTCATCCATTTGCTCTATTGCAATTAGGATTTAATCGCTGAGCCCGCTTCAGTTTCTTCCACAGAAACATCATCGCTTTTACACGGAAAAATCGCCCGCAATGGCTTTCAACAATCGAACGACACTGATCACCTCTGGGGAACTTCTTACCGGCTACATGTTTCTCGACTCTGAGATACTATGGGAAGCATTGCAGGCCAGCGGTTCTAATACGGCACACATGTACCCTGAAGGAAACAAACGGCTTGCTATGATAGGCGATGCGGCGCTTAAACTCGCGATCCTCGACGGGCTCCGGTCTCGAAATTTGCCTAGAGGTAAGGATAAATGCTGCAAACTGCTTATATATGCCGATAATACATATGCTAAGACAAATTTTAGGTTCCATGGACAGTATTGTCCAGAGGATTGTTAACAACATAAACCTTGAGAGGGTCGGACGGCGAATCCATCTCGAGGACCTCGTGAACAGGAACCCGTCCCAGCAAGGCGATGTACCTCCACGCACCGTGTCAGATACGCTTGAGGCAATTCTAGGTGCCGTCCATCTCGATTCTGGCAGTGACCTTGGGGCTGTGCGGCTGGTGATGGCGAACCTCGGACTGTGGCCGGAGGAGTCGCAGCCGTCGGCGTCCTTGTAATTGCGATACTAGGACAGGTTGTGGATTATTGCTTATTTGAGTTGGTGTATTCTGCGATGATTTTTGGGCGGAGACTTCCTCTGAAAATTTAACTTGGCAATCAGTCTCGACATTATTGTGGATGTTGACTGGCAAGATGAAATTTTCCGAGAGAGGCTGGTTGTAATCATAGAACTACTTAGAAACTAGGAATTTATCATGAGGTCACTTATATGTATAGGGAAAGCTATTAGAAGATTAGGAGAACACTAGGGGTCGCGTAGTTAAAGATCTGCTTCATAGACAGCGTTCTTAAAGGTCATGATGAAGTTTTTGTTAAGTGTTCATTTTAACGGGCGAAGTAAAACTAAATTCTTTCTAGCTAGGCAGAGGGCTGTCATGAATAAGTAGAAGACCTGCTAAAGGTCTCAGATGTAGAAATTAGCATAGACTGTTTTTTCTGCGCCCGCCCACATCAACGACTGTAAAGCCCGCCTCTCGTGGCGCGAAGGGCAGACACCACAAGAAGAAAAGGCGTTGGGCGGGAGTTGTTAGATGTCATAGCTAGCATAACACTTACAGGTTGCTATTTGGCTTAGAATTAGAGGCTCTTGCTAGGATGTCAAGCTAACTGTGCTCACTGATTATGGATTGGCGGATTAGACCTTTGATATTTACTTTATAGTAGCTGTATCTATATACAATGAAATGCCTCTAATATCAACTCTTAATATCTTCTGTTCTGTGTCCTCTTCTTGTCCCTGTTTCCGCCCCCTATTTAGGCTTGTTTCTTTCCGTTCCCTCTTTCGTTTTAATTCCGTTTCGTTGTTCGTTTTTCCACACACGCCACATTTCGCTCTCTGTTTCCTTCTTCGTTTGCGTCCTATGTTCCGTGTGCATGTAGTAGAGCGACCACATGGGTATAAAAGATATCCGTGTGTCCGTCTTGTTATCAGCTAATAGCGAAGACTTCCCGTGGACATCGACTAAATCTAGGTGAAGATGCGCTCTAGTTTCATTTCTTAGCTGTGGCTGCCTTTGCTTTTCCGTGCCGCTTTACAATGTCACTATTTCCCGTTTCAGCCTACTTATCTTGTCACCAGCATGATGATACTGTCATGATCTTCCCGCTACCACTCCTTTCTTCTTTCCCTTCTTATCTAGCAAACTTACCTTCCTGTCTAAGCCTACAACTCTGGACAGAAGTGCCACAAGAGGTGACTAGTGAACCTCCCATTTCATTCTTCTCTGCTGTTTTCCTTTCGGCTTAACTGCCGTTGTCGTTAATATTGGCCATATGTATGTCTTGGCTTACCTGGGTTAATGCTAACGTGCTTATATAGGCAACGCTTCCTTCGAATGTGGGCATCGACGGCACTGCCAGCCAGCCCCCTTCCCGCCCCTCGATACCCACCGACGACGGCTCCTTCAGCGAAATAGCCATGCTACTGTCACAGTACGGCTGGTGGGCCCACTGACCATTGGCTAGCGTGGTGGGTTTTTGCGTATGCGCTGGTAAGGTAGTCTAGATCATCGTGTCGAAAGATTGACCCGCTAGCAAGCCTGATTATCGTGCCGAAAAATTAAGCCGGTACCTTACAGTGTTGGTAGAACAATCTAGAAACTTGTCCTTCAATCGGCCTACTCTACTAGAAGAAGAATTATAGCTCCGTTGCTTGTATATTCCATGTTTATTAGTAGAAGGATTGTACAAAGAAAATGTACAAAGAAAATGGTAGTTGTACAGGAGGTGGAATCTCGCGCTGTGCCCCGTAATAAGAGACCGGGGAAGTGGGGCAGACGGTTTTGACGGATAATGAATTCGTAGCGTTGACGCTTTCTTACTCACCTATTCCCCTCTCCGCACTGTTCGAATTTGCGGTTGATTTTGAGGTGGCTATGAGATCGTCCGACTGACCAATAGGCTGAATTTCAGGAGTCGTCCACGATCCCTACACACCCCTACACCTTCGGTGCTATTCGACCAAGGTCATTACTCTTCTCTCTGGGAGTTTCCATCCAAAGAGAGAATTTGCTATCCTAGGAGACTCCAAATCCACAGCACTCGTAATGGTGTAGCGACCCGTAGGATAATTTTACAAGGTCGTGTGGATGATCGGCACCGAATGAGCTATCCTCGACGACTCCTTTACCCCTCTTTCTCAGTTGCTGCCGTAAGTTAACTTCACTTAGATATCTCTTCTTAACCCCTCTCACTACAATTCCGATTTGTCGCACACCGCAAAATCCACACACTTCACAGAGACGTAAGTATCCTTTCTAGTAGCTGTTCATCTCCCAATCTCACCTCTTTTAGACCATCAATGGCATTCAATCGCTTTCGTCCGACATCCCATTTTATTGCCCCTCACTCGTGGTCAAATGATCCGTGTGGTGCAGTATACGTCCCCGAGACAGGAGAGTACCTCTTCTGCTACCAATGGAATCCGGGCACTACTGAGGGGGGAAACTGTGCGTGGGGAATGGCACGTAGCAAGGATCTAGTCACTTGGGAAGATTGTCCACCAGCAATCAGAAATGGCATCACTACGTCATATGACTCCCTTGGAGTCTTCTCTGGATCTATAGCCTCAAGACTGATTCAAGACAAAAGAGTACTGTTTCTCTTTTATACAAGCGTATCAGCTGTACCGATTCATTGGTCCATAGACTATATCGAAGGGTGTGAGTCTCAATCAGTGGCAGTCTCAACGGATTTTGGAAATTCATGGCATCGATACGAAAACAACCCTCTGCTGCGAGCACCCCCTAAACAGGCCGCGACGACTGGTTGGCGCGACCCGTTTGTCTCTCGTTGGAAGTCCCTCTCAATCCTCCTCGGAATAGACCCGTCAACCGATTATATGATGATTGCATCGGGTGAACGTGGTAGATCCCAGCTTCATCTCTACCAATCTAATGACCTACTCGACTGGAAACTAGTCTCTTCGATTCTGGACGTCGAAGCAGGCTCTAGGATCTCGCCAGTAGCATACCTGAGATTTGGCATGAACTTCGAATGTGCTAGCTTTTTCTCCATCAATCAAAGGGACTATATTATTGTAGGCGTGGAGGAAGATGTTACGAGCAAGCGTCACAACCAACGCTACACTCTTTGGCTTTGCGGTACTCTGGTTATAGAGGCTGGATGTCCTAAATTTGAAATCTCCAGTCATGGGTTGTTGGATCATGGCGTTCTCTATGCGCCTCACATCTTCCGCGATTCTGAGGATCGTCTTCTCCAGCTCGGTTGGGCGGATGAAACCGCCCAACCATATATGGTGAGAAAGCAAGGTTGGGCCGGATGTTTGACCCAACCAAGAGAATTGTACGAGATCTCGAGACCAGCCATCGACGTGGTCAAGACCCAACATATTTGGAACCTAGATGAACAGGGTGGAAACGTGACAACGCTTGGTATCCGCCCAGCACCCCAACTCCGTGGCCTTCGAGATGCAAAACATTCCACATCTTTATCAAGCTTCAGAAAATTTCAAGGCACAAATTGCGACGTTGAGGCTACCTTCAAACACATTCTTGGCAACGAAAAATTTGCCTTCAACTTCCGAGAAGCCCCTGATTCTGTCGAAGTGACGAAAGTTATTTTCGACCTTGAGGATGGTCAGATTACAGTTGATCGAAGCCGATCTAGTGTACAGAACCTTGGTGCAAACTTTCCAGATTCAGGCCAGTTCTGCCTAGTCTTAGGCGAGGACCTCAAAATTAGGATTTCGATGGATAACTCAATCCTTGAAGTGTATGCAAATGATCGATTCGCAATTACCTCAAGGGTTTATCCAAGTCTAGAAAGCTCGGTGGGGGCCTCATATGATTTCGGGGCCTTTTCTGAGAAGAACGTGGAATTCAAATTCTGGGAAGGGATAAAAAATGCATGGCCTGGACGGGATGCAAATGAGAATAGTTTAGAGTTGTTCTCGTTGGCGGAGGCGAAGGATTTGATGCCAAATCTTGGATCTAGCAATTTTATGATACAAGCTGCTATGCCTGCTTAATTTATACTAGAATGATTAGGTCTTGCTTCTAGCGATAGATTTTTTAGACATAATGATATACTATGTTCGTCATGCGTTCTATTACTAAATTACCTGGGTATTTCTGAAGCTTCGAAGCCTTTTAGAAATGGCTGTGAAGCGGAAGAGTGCGAGGTGCAGCGGCACCCAATCGAACATTTGACTGATGCCACTAACTACGACAAGAGGGGCTCTAGGACAAGTCCTCTACTTCTATGAGCGTTGGGGCTCAGAACGGAGCCTCTAGCCTTAGTACATGATATCGTTAAACCACCTTGCTACCTTGCTCAAATGGTTATAGCTCTATCACGAAGCAAATATGAAGGGAAATTTTTGGTTTTAAATGAGACACTTGAGAGGGTCACCATAAGTTTGGAAGTAAGCTAGACAACAATCGACGTTTGTGGACAAGTCTTAAATTTAGCTCTTATGATCAGCTACTAAATATTCCAACAACGCATTCAACACCACCTCCTTCATGCCTAAACACTCTTGGTAGTATCGCGAGCATACTCTGAAAACAGCATCTTGGTGTCAGAATCATTAAAGGGGTCAACGACGGTAGTGGCGAACTGTCTAGCTGGGACCTTCTTGGCGAAAAGGATATCAAGCTCGTGGTAAGATCTATTCCAGGTCTCAGGAAGACGGTAATAACTCCACACGAACATCCCAAAGCAGGTCCCCCCCCAGACGAATCCAGTGTAACCCTTGAGGTTCCAGGCTTGAGGGTTCATGAAGTATTGCTGAAGTGTTCCACCAATGGTTCCAGTTATGTTTGAGGCGTCACGGGCAAGACAGATAGTCTTTTGCCGGAGACGGGTAGAGCCGATTTCGGCTGGAAGTGCCCAGCCAAGCTGGCCTACAGATAGCTGGAAGATGAAGGTCCAGAGCAAGGTGAGAACGGCTTGAGACATGCCGACTGATGGGTGTTTAGTCCAGACATTAAGAATGCCAATGAGGATCAGGACGAAGCACATACTACCCATTCCCCAGATGTAGATCGTGCGGCGACCAAAGTATGGCATTAGAGCAAACCAGTTAACGAAGCAACCAACCAGGGCTAGAGCAGTTCCGCCGAGTGCGAGGGAGTAGGTGGCGTCGGTGCCAAGGCCAACTTGGGAGAAGAAGTAAGAGCTATTGTAGGCAAAGCAGATACCGCAAAGGATTTGACCAGCAAACACAACACATGCAATTTCGGTACGGCGTAGCTCGAAGCTCTTGAAGCAATCCCAGTAGCTGGTTCCAATAGAGAGTTGCTCTTCGAGGTTATTAGTGTAGATGATAGAAGAGAGTGTTTTGCGCGGGTCGATGCGGGTGGCCTTTACGGACTGGAGGCGGCGAAGAGATTGCTCGGCCTCTTCGATGCGGCCCATTCTAACGAGGTACCACGGAGACTCAGGAGCCATGTAAACAAGTGGTATGAGGAAAGCTGGCCAGACCCATTGGAGGGCGAATGGAATCTTGTAACCCCACGGATCAGTTCGAGTAGAAAGACCCTTCAGGACGCCGGCAGAGATGAGTTGACCGATAATAAAGCACATGTTAGTGTATGAGGTCATGTAGGTGCGGAGGGCTGTTGGAAGGACCTCAGATGCGTAAGCCGGAGCGGTGGTGGCCAGAATTCCCCAAGGGAAACCGCAAAGAATCTCTCCGACGACAAGAACTGGGAGACTGGGTGCGAAGAAGACGACGAATATACTGAGAGACATGGCGATAAGAGCACCTAAGACAACGCGCCTGGAGCCGAATTTGGAGACGAGGTAGCCGTTAAGAAGGCATCCAAAGATGGAACCGACACCGGAAGATTGCGAGAGACCAGCTTGCCACGCAGCAGTCAATTGGTATCCGACGGGGGTCGACGGTGTTACACCAACAAATCTACCGTATCTGATCAGGAAAGAAGCTAAACAAACCTATTAGTGTTCCGTGTGGGTATTTGGAATCAGTAAATACTCACGATATGCGAAGAAGTTTGACAAAAGGTTCGTATCGTATCCCTCCATAATAACACAGGTAGAGAAGACCAATGACCAGAGAATGGCCTGTGGATAGGCTTTGATTGCATCGCGGACACTGAGATCCTTCTCGTCGATAATGCCTTGTTCCGCGGCTTCCTCAAGTGATTTACCTGTGATCCTCTTCTCATCTGATGCGTGAGCAATGGACACAGTGGTCTCAATTTGCTGAACACCGGAGCCGTTGTGCTTCTCCATCTTATGTTGCGAATAAGAGAACAATGAATAGCGATTGTAGAGATTGTTGCTCATGTGTTGTGCGGAATCCTGCTGAAAGTAATTTCCGTGGCGGCATTCATGAGGTTTATATATCTGGGATTCGAGGTGGTCAAGCCTTTGGGCAGACTTCTCCAACAGCGAGACCAGCTATGGGACGGGACGGGACAGTACAGGACTTTGGAATCGATGAGATAGTTTCTGTCGGCGGTGTCAACGCCGCCCTAAGCCTACCTTTGATAATCGTATCATAAAATGTGATTATACAGAGAGAGCTGATTCAATAAGCAGAAGCAACTCCTGGGGTCCCCATCTTTCATGCCCTGGGGTCCCCATGGGGCTGGTTGAGCTATAGTATGGCGACAGAAGCTAGTTTGCATACGCGTCTATGCACGACTTGCGGTAAAACAACACCCAATTGCTTGCAATGGCCCTAAAAATGCTTGCAATTTGTGCACAGACCTATACGCAAACTTCCGTAGTTATACTATAGCTCGAGTACTCCTATAGCTCAACTAGGTCATGGGGACCCGTATGTAAACTTCCGTCGCCGTACTGTAGCTTGGATTAGTCCGAAGAATTCCCCCGCCTTTCTCTACTAGCTAGTTGCAGCGGCAGACCCAATTAGCGTCTTGGCAAGAAATAAAATTCTGACAATGAAAGCCCTAACACCTGCCGCCATTAGTGTCGTAAGTCCCTGTGATTCGTGATTCGTGAATAGCGTTGGACCTGATCGCCAGTCTCAACTTGGAGTTTGGGTCTGATCTAGTGGCTAATCCATGCGAAGGTAGCAAGCAAATGACGGAGTAACTTTGACCCTTTGACCCCCCTTTGACCCAATCCACGGTAGCGCCCCTATCATGCCCATCGGCATCCATAGCTCGGCTGGTTTCCGCCTGTTGACCCCCTTTTTTTTTGTCTGTTTTCCGCCTGTTTTCCGCCGCCTATTTTCTCGCACCTATTTTCCGCCGCCTATTTTTCTCCACCTGTTTTCCGCCGCCTATTCTTCTCCACCTATTTTCTACGTTTGGATAGTCTGCTTCGTAAACGCACTTCCCCGCAGATAGGCCTGGCCAGACCACTCATGATCCATCCAATCCCCCACAAATACTCCAAAATATTTCCATACCCCGATCCATCCACAAGTCTTTACGCAGACTTCTTCGCGGAAAACTCTTCTCTGAGTTCTCCTTCATATCTAACATTACTCTACATTTTAATTATCTCTATCCTCCGCCATTCTGTATTCCCCTCGCAGCCAAGTCCAATGCGGAGACCTTCTGCATGCAAACCTTGTCGGTGACGACCCCCTCCCTTATCCCCTCCCCCTCACCCAATCCTAGTCTTAGACCTCGGCACTTGAGAGCATTGTCGTCGCCGCACGGTTCTGACATTTAGTAGTGCCCGTCGACGGAAGTGTAATATCCCTCAGGGACAGGAGCTTTGCACTTACTGTGCTACTCGTAGCCTCGAATGCGTCAAGGAACCGCCTTATGGCGGATACTACCACAAGGCCCAGCTATCACACAGCATACCTAGCCTGCTAAGCCTGCTCACCGTGCCTAGCCCGCAGCCCAGCAGAAGTACCCAACTCATTGTCGATGACCGCAGTAGAGCGTTTCCTCCTCTTCCCCTGCGTATCGAGCTTGTGCAACTTTATTTCGACTATATTCACAATCAATTCCACACACTATTCCACCCCCCAACCTTCAAGCTTGCAGCTGCCGAAGATCGAGTCCCTGATGTCCTTTTGTATCCTATGTTTGCTTTATCTGCCAGGTAAGCTGAAGACTGCAAACACTCGATTGATTTTGCAGAAGAGAGGCTTTCTGTGTCACAGGGACAAGCGGACAGGACAACACCTGTTCATTAATCCATCGGTCCATGTTAGCCAAGGTATTTCTTAAGTGAGAATGGAGAAATAAGAAAAAGACATTTAGCGACCCTTTTTTGAATTGAACGCTTGGCTGTGTTAATTGTTTAGAGAGCCGTTTCTGACGTTAAAGGGCCAGGTTCTCGAACGATCGATTCTTCTGTAACACAAATCCGCCAGATCGCGGAGCGATTTTTCTAGAAGAAGGCGGCAAAATACTTAATATTCGCGATAAATCGCTCACTACAGTCCAGGCTTGTGTACTACTAGGAGCGGCTTGCATTGCGGATGGGGACGATGTCTCAGAAAACTTATACCATGGTATTGCCTGCCGTTTAGCACAGCTTCTGGATCTGCCTAATTTTCCAGTATCTTGCCCTCTTGATCGAGAAATAAATATCCGGGGTTAGTTTCATTTTCTTTGTCCTCAATGCCAATCCACGTCACTAAAAAATTATTTCTAGTGTGGTGGTCGCTGTGTATGGTAGATGTTTGGTCCTCGACGGCGGTCAAGCTTCCTAAGCTCATGCCAACTGCGGACGTTTCACTCCCTATGGATGAGATGCACTACCTTGCACTCAGGAAAGATAGTTCTTCCAGCTTCGTGGGATCCGATGGGCTCGACGCTCTTTCACCTCTTGTTTCCGAGATGATCAAACTTAATCGGATACTTCTTGCTATCAACGATTTTAATGAAGCTTGTGTCAAAGGACAGCCTGATGGTCTCCTATTGGAACACGCTGTTCATGATCTAAGCAGACAACTCGACGACTGGGCCGGGGCTCTACCAGAAAGTATGAGAGATACTCCTGAAAATTTCTCATGGTACGCATCCCATGGCCTCGGGCGTTCCTTTGCAGCAGTATATTTAGGCTACTATCACTTTGGCCAACTTCTGTTTTACCAGTTTCTACATGTTGGACCATATAAGTCGACACCGTCAGTCAATGCATATGCAGAAAAGTGTAAAGACCACGCGGCCCACCTCTGCGAGATGATCTACCGAGCATTTTCTACTCCCAACTGCGACGTCCTTTACACGATGGTAGCGCATGTCCTTGTGATAGCCTCTACCGTGCAGATCCACACACTTCTCTTCTCGGGGGATGAGTCTCAGATTCGCATTGCTCATTCGCGGCTCGAGCAGAACTTTAAAATCCTTCTTCATCTTAGAACTTACTGGTCCACCCTCGACAGACCAATGATGCGATTACGTGCATTCCATGATTCGTGCAGAAAGAGCGTGGATACTACCTTTGTGCTCGATCGTTGGATGTTGAGATTTCTCGTGGAGTTTGCTAAGCCAATGGAACAGAAGGGGGTCGATGACCAAAATATCCCCCTGACCCTTAACACGTTAGACTTTGTATGAAATTTCCTAAACAGTGGAAAGTTAAAAGGATAGCAAACATGAACAAATTTTAGTCAACTAAATTTATTACACCACTTTCTAATGGAATAATACTAATTGGCAGACGTCTCTTGCGGTTGTATTGTGCGTCTATGTGCGGCATTCATTGGGTTGGGCGCCTACAACAAAAGATAAAATATTAAATAAATTTTCCAACTTGTCACCACTGATAAAACCGCCGAATGGGACCACATCAACCAGCTGCGACGAGATTCACATATATACCCCAGATTAGCCCTGCGAGGTTCCCTACCAACATCCGTTGACTTGCCGGTATTAATGCGAAGTTTGTTAATGTTACCAGTGGCCAGAACCGGTACGATGACAGAACCATTGACCAGTAGGACTAGAAATTAAAATTTAGATTCTTACAGTAATACGTCACAAGCAATATATCTCGAATGGAAAAAGGTACTTACATCTCTTACTTCATTCTCGATCTCCATAGTACCTTTTCCCTTGAGCCAGCCAAGAAGTAGAAGGAAAACCAGCGTGTTGATCCAACAGCCTAGTGTTTGATCGAGGAAGAATTTTATAACTGTATTGTTGATGCTCAATCGGAAAGATTCCTCACTTGTTTCTCCGCTTCTGACAGAGGTCGCTTTCTTTAATGTAGGTTTAGCATTGGCCGTTGTCATTGAAGGAAACTGTCTCTCAAGGAAAGCCTGCCATGCGAAATTTGGCGGTGTGGTAATAAGACTGAACGTGGCAAAGCGGAAAACCTCTATAGTATCTAGTTTGAAGATGCCCTGGAAATTCAGTGTCAGCAATTGTCACCACCACCTAGCATGAGCGGCATGGGGTCGCGTTTAAAGTGAGGCAAACATGTTTGTTATGTGCTGTAAAGACTTGCGCAAGTATATTTGACAACGTTGCCAATGAAACTCCTTGCAACGTCGCTATCATTACGGGGGTTGGCATTGTCTGTTCAATTGTCGAGGATGGTTTCCGCAGGTATTTTTTGATATAGCGAAGGCTTTAGAAGGATCCACGATCGGGCGAGGGCTAATACAACTTATAGATTATAAAATAGGAGAGAACGATGGAATGAGGTTGTAAGGAGCTTTGAGCTACTCTGTCTGGCGTGCATGTGGATAATAGCCACAGCGGGGTTCCCAATCATAATTTGGGGCAAAAATCATCGTTCATGGTGAACGATTAGTTGATCATCACATGATGATCCTTGACCTGAGAGACAATGATCCGGTAGTAGCTAACCTGCAGGAAGCGAAAAACGTTAATCTTAGCATTATTTTAGCTTCCCCGCCTTAGTTTTCCGACCTCTAGCCCCAAGAAGCGGAAAGCAAGCGGAAAACGTAAACAAATTTATCGTTAGGCTTTCCCGCCTTAGTTTTCCGACCTGTAGCCCCAAGCTTACCTATAATGCAATAAGTGGAAAACAAGCGGAAAACGTAAACGAATTTGTCGTTTATGTCTTGGCTACCCCTCCTTAGGTTTGCGACTGTAGCTCTATACCCACACCTACGATTAACCCTATTGGGATTGGGCTGGTGATTCAAACAAGGAGGATGTATAAAGGCCATAAAGGTATTACGAGCAACCATAAGACTTTGCAACATACCAAACAATTTGATCCAAATAATTCGATCATGGTTCATTCGTCTCTAATTGTGACTGCGGCATTTTCTTGGTTGCACCTAGTAAATGCAGTGAACAATGGGCTTGCTCGAACCCCTCCAATGGGATGGGTATGCATGGAATACATCACCACCCGAATGAAAATAACTATCTAACAACCTGCTAAATAGAATAACTGGAACTCATTAGCTTGCGACGTGTCAGAAGATTTGCTTCTAAGCACATCCAAGAAGCTCATAGATCTCGGGTTGCGAGATATGGGATACGATCACGTTGTCTTGGACGACTGCTGGCAGGACATCCGGGGCGAGGATGGCTATGTTACTCCTGACAAGGGAAAGTTCCCCAACGGTATGAGGGCCATATCGGATCAGTTGCACATGAAAGGTTTCAAATTTGGCATGTACTCCAGCGCGGGTGAGATGACCTGTGCTAGATATGGTGAGTAAATTAAAAGTTACAACTGCCACTCTCTGACTTTTTTCTGCTTGCTAGCCGGTTCACTCGACCATGAATCCAAAGACGCGGAGAACTTCGCCTCTTGGGGCGTCGACTTCTTGAAATATGATAATTGTTATCATATGGGGAGGATGGGAACCCCCGAGACCTCTTTCAACCGCTTCAAGGCAATGTCCGATGCCCTTAGGGCGACTGGGCGCCAAATTGCATTAAGTCTCTGCAACTGGGGCGAAGATTACGTCCACACGGTATGCTCCTCTCACCAGCCACTGTCAGATTCCATAGGTACTCATCCGTTTACCAGTGGGGAATGTCCATCGCCAACGCCTGGCGCATGTCTGGTGATATCTATGACTCCTTCGCACGGCCAGATGACCTATGCGGCTGCGATACAAACAATCCCACTGATCCATTTTGCATCGCACCCGGCACGCATTGCTCTGTCCTCTTCATCCTTAACAAAGTCGCCCCGTTCGTCGACCGCAGCATACCAGGTGGCTGGAACGATCTCGACATGCTTGAAGTTGGCCAGGGCGGCATGACAGACGAGGAGTATAAAGCCCATTTCGCGCTTTGGGCTGCCCTAAAGTCCCCACTCATGTTAGGCAATGACTTGCGCGTCACGTCACCCTCAACACTCTCCATCATCAACAACCCAGCCATCATCGCGCTCTCCCAAGACATGCATGGCCGTGCGGCGCAGCGTGTTGCCCGCAACCTCGACGTGCCCAAGGATGAGTATGGGGTTGGCGAGACCCACATTTGGAGCGGAAAGTTGCACAATGGTGACCAGGTCGTGATTCTCCTCAACGCGGCAAATGAAGATCTTGATATGAGCGCTCCACTGTCGGAGATATTCGTTTCGGAGGGCCCAGGCGGATCAGCTCCTCAGGCAAACCAGTCTTGGGAGGTCTTCGATTTGTGGGCAAATCGCATGAGTGATGCCGAGGCGCGATCGATTCTGGAGGCTGCGGATGATCAGACGAGAGCCGAGATTTTTGGAAAATTGGGGTGGTACAACGCAACTGATATCCCATACGAGGTTGGGCTCGAGCAGGGAGATAAACGCTTGTTTGGTCAGAAAGTCGGTGTCGTTGAAGCACATAGCGCATGGAATGTAAAGGTCTTGAGACATTCGGCAAAGGTATATAGGTTTAGGAGATCTGGGGTTAAAAGCGAGGGCCATAATGAGCTATGATACGGATATTGCGATCGAGCTATAGCATCTATTATGTCTGGTAAATAATTTTAGGACAGCTATTATGTCTGAATGATTGATTGATTGATTTACTACGTAAGCTTCTCGCGACTAAGGCTAACGTAAGTCGTGGCGTGCTTGGGCTAATGGCATACTTGACCCGACGCGAATACCACAACCCTACCAAAGTACACCTAATACTCAACTACTATACGGTCATATACCTCCTCCAAGTCCTCCTTAATATCCCTTCATTATCTTGCTTAATCACAGCATTGTTTACCGCTGTACTACCCGTTGTTATTGCAATTTTTATTTATTTACTAACGTATTTCCCGTACGAGTGGCCCACCCGAACGAGTGGCCCACCAAAACACCAAAACGCGTCAATGTGACTACAGTCAACAATGCCACGACCAACACAAGCCAAATCCTCTAATCAAGAGGGTAGAATACTATTAGCTATGCAAGCAATCAAACAAGGCCAGTTTCAAAGTGTCCGAGTAGCTGTAGCATCGTACGATATCCCTCGAACAACACTACGTCGACGAATTCAAGGAATGACATCCCGACGCGATTCTACACCTAACTTATAGAAGTTGACTCTGTACGAAGAGTCAGCTCTTATTCAGTATATCCTCGACCTAGATTCACGTGGATTTCCACCCCGGCTACAAGCTGTATAAGAAATGGCTGACCTTCTACTCTCTAAACGAGGCGAGAGCCCTGTTAGGAAGAACTAGGCTACGGGCTTCATAACGCGTTGTATGGAAATCAAATTAAAGTTTAGTCGGAAGTACGACTATAAACGAGCAAAATGCGAAGATCCTAAGATAATTCAAGAGTGGTTCTCTCTTGTACGAAACACAGTTGCAAAATACGGCATCTTAGAGCAGGATATCTACAACTTTGATAAAGCAGGTTTCGCAATGGGAGTTATTGCTACTGCAAAGGTAGTCACAAGCTTAGAAGCAAAGAGCCGTCTAAAGACTATACAGCTAGGAAATAGAGAGTAGGTGTCAATTATCTAAGGTGTTAATTCGTACGGATGGGCACTCCTGCCGTTCATCATTTTTAAGGCGTAGAATCACCTCTCTACTTAGTACGAGGACTTAGAATTACTAGACGATTAGGTGATTACACTAAGTGAGAATGGGTAGACTTTAAATTTAATTAGGTATAAGTGGATCTAACACTTCGATCGACATATAAGTACTTGTATAATTAGAACCTATCGCCTTCTTATTCTTAACGGACATAAGAGCTACCTCTTAGCTTAATTTTAGCACTACTACATAGAACGGAAGATAATTACCCTCTATATGCTACTACACTCCTCACACATTCTTTAGCTACTTAACGTAAGCTGCTTTACTCTACTAAAGCTTTCGTATAGACGTTAGATTGAAACCTTCGTATAGAACAGGCTAAATCACATTACGAAGCTTGAGTTTCTCTCTACATTTAAAGAGGCATTTAAAGCTACATTTATAGAGCAGAACATTAAGAGCGGGTTCTAAGCTATAGGACTAGTTCTATACGAGCTATAGAATGTCCTCTCTTACTTAAATCTACACTTGCGGACTCCAACTCCTCCTATAGTTGAGAGTAACAATTAGACTTTAAAGACTCCTCAAACTATAAGGGAGCTTGACTTTTAAACAGAGCACGTTAGGAACTGCATTATACAGCATTAGAATAGCTCTCCTAGCTCAATTACTAACGCACTAAGCCGGCTTGCTAAAGGAGCTCAGGTTATGATGCATTCTGCTACTCTACTTAAGGCAGAAGTTAAGGCTCTACAAGCAGCAAATGAACAGAAAAAGAGGAGGGAAAGGAAGTGCAAGAGGCGTATAATGCAAGGGGGAACCCTCTCCGTACGAGATGCAGAGGATATCCTTCAAAGTGCTGAGGTTGATGC